GATTGTGATCTTCGTCCAAACATGAGAAATAAGAGATGCCCTATAAGACGGCATTTCCAGCACCAACTAATCCTAGTCACCCTAGATTGTAATAATAAAAGGAATGGAGTTATACTTTCGTATGTTTATTAATGAAAGTTGACTTTCATTCCATTCCGTTTCCAGGAATCTATGAGTTACCGACCGTATTGGGCGGTTCATTGGACAAGGTTGGCTGCGATAACATTATAGGTCGGCCTGACCCGTTATAAGACTGTGCTTTTATTGAATCGAGACGGAGTAATTATTATGTTTTGCACAATCATCAGAGAGCCTCTTAATCCCCTGCAACCTAGTAAGTACAGTCCTAAGTGAAGAATTTTGTCTTTCTAGAACCCACTCTGATTCGTTCTTCAACACCTTTGACTTGTTACCTCAGCACTTTTCGTACCGAACAAGGTTGTTAATTTGAACTCTTATACTTGACGATCGCCTAACCGCCGACGTCAGCGTAACTCTTGATGAAGAGTTTATCATTTGTAGTATTTGACCTTGATATGGAGTTTTTCTGGGATAACACTAATAACGAGCAAGGTTCAGCATTCATTCCGATCCGTTCCAATACATAGCCCTTTAAACTGGGGCACTGAAAAGAATTTAGTAACGATCCATGAGGTTCATCTTCTTATTTTTATCAAACTTTGGTGTACCGATGCTCATTGTTCCTATTCCTTATTGGAGACATGTGGCATCCAGTGACCTCTTTGATGAATTCGCCAGTATTTCCTCGTCGCGATCCACTTGGATTTGTGTTGTTCTTCTATAGTGGTACTACTTCTGAAGGTTTCTTTGTATATTGCACTAACAGGAGTAAGCATACGTGACTCAACTGTTGTATACGAAGCCTTAGTTTGAACTTTCGTTGGTTTGAGTGGGGAGTTCTACTCAGTACTCGAAACACACGTGCCGGAGTAATGGGTGGATGGCTTATCATGAAGCAGTAGTACAGCCTGAATACTATGGTATCTCAGTGACAGTTGACTCATCTTCCACAGAATTTGTATTCGAGTGCTGAGTCATTTATTTAACTAGTAAAGGTCATGCGATCTTCTACGCAGTGTCATTGAGGTCGTGGTTTCTAGACACCCCCTTCACGTGTCACTAGAGGTAGCAATCCGAATAGGACAGGGATCCTCGTTGTTTGATGACAGACTAAAGTTAGGCTTTCGAGTTCTAAAATCAAAATCATCTCCATTCCCCTGAAACGCATACGCAGTCTCCTGAAAAATCTTCCTACTAAAGCCTCATCACATAGCTTTGAGGGGGAATCTCTGAAAGTTTACTCACCAAAGGACAGAAATCTAATGTCTCTTTCACTTTTTCCCGTTGAGAGTCGGCTCTATTTGAACTCCTCTTCCAGGTGAGGTGAAAATGACCCTCTCTCAGGTGTCCAGATTACGATGAACGTAAACCCACAAAAGCAGTGGGCTGACTAGAATGTGTGCAGTCGATTACTCTTGTTGTATATTGCCGATTGCCTGGAACTGTACGGAAGGAATTATAAGCTCAAATGGTTCAAATAGTTGTGGACGTAATAGAAAAAGCTTTCGTTTAACGGGCTTCCCTGTCTAGTAGCAATGGATCACCGAAGCCTCCAGGCAGGAACCTAGGTATATTAACGATGAGAGAGGAGAAAAAAGAAATTTGTAAATCATAATAAGATGTCCTTAGTCCTTAAGAATGGGTCAAGTTTCCTCTTAAAGGACTCCTGGGAAGTCTCTTGGACTAGTTCAGTCAACAGCGAATTCCGGCATTTGACAACTCCTAAAGAGTAGAAGTTGTGTCTACAGTCCGTTCTGCTATGTTGTATATACAATTTCTGGGTGTTACCCCTTAGGTTTGTGTTGAAGGTAAACTTAAGTAGGTGTTGAAGGGGATGTCCAGAAGTGTTAAGGATACTGTAAGCCATTAGAAGGTCACCTTTAAGACGTCCATACTCTAATGGGTAAAGGTTAAGTGGTTAGAGGCGCTCTTCATAAGGTTCGAATTTGAGTCCCCGAACAGATTTCATGGCTCGCCGTTGGATACGCTCCAGAGTGTCCTTATCCTTTTGGAGTGAGGGGGGAAATATTATGTTTCCGTACTCTAATTGGAAACGAGTAAAACTGTTGAAGATTATGTGGAAAGTTCTTCCGTCGAACTGGTCAAGAATGCGCTTTAATGTCATCAGTACAAGGTTTGCTCGAAAGGCATTTCCGTCACAGTTAGCGTAAGACTTCAATTTGTAGGGTACCAGGACTCCTAAATCTTTTTCGACTCGAGATACTACTATAGATGAGTTTCTTAAGTTGTAACTGTAGTCTGCAACATCTCACAGATGAATTACTTTGCACTTTGGAGTGTTAAAGGTAAGTCCGTTATCGTCTGCCCAACTTTGAAGTCGAGTCCGATCCTCCTGAAGTGCTTGTATATCCTCTTGGTTGCGTATCTCTCTCTAAAGTTTCACGTCATCAGCAAAAAGCAATAAGTCTGACGATACCTGTTGTGTAAGATCATTCATATAAATCAGGAAGAGAAGTGGTCCTAGTACTGAGCCCTGGGGGACCCCACTAGGACATTCCATATCCTGAGATAAAGTGAAGTTAACCCTGACCTTAAAATGTCGATCCACCCCCAATTACTGCTTTTTTGTCGTTGCAAAACTAAGACATCCTAGGTATTGCTAACTCCTGGTCCGAGAACTGAGAAGATATCCAAGTTTCAGTTATTCCTATCAGATGAGCCTTATTAGAATTGCTAACTTCACGTAGCTCATCCATTTTACTTGAAAGACTCGCGGCGTTCATGTATAAGCAGTTTATGCTTTTAATTTGAAACTCATGGGCTTTTTTCTGTTTGTCTGTATGGGCCTTACTTGAATGGACAGGTAGCCTACCTATATAAGGTTTGCCGAGTTGGCAAGCCCTGTCCTTTACACATCTTCTTAATGACCATACAGTCCACAAGTGGAATGGTCAGCTCCAAATAGCCTCTGTGCTTGATCCTGGCGTCATGTCGCCTATCCGGGTGCATATGGATTCCAGTAGGCAACCAACGTCTGTTGGCACGAAATACTCCCAGAGTGGCAGCCACCATATGGGGGGGGATGGGAAAGTTATCCTCATTAGCCGGGGTATAGGATCACCTTCCTTCTTGGTTAGACTCGTCACATGCTGATTCATTATGTTTGTAAGCTCCAAGGACTTCTTGATGAATTTTCATTTCCTAATATCAGAGTTTGCTTGACTAGGGTCCGTGTTTTCCGGTACATCTTGCACAATTATATTTCTTCCGCGGGAAAACTTCTCGCGAGAATCTTTAGGGATGTTCCGGATGAGATTGCGCTCAGGATACGGTATGTCGGGCAGTATTCTTACGTTCCCATCAGATTTCAGTAAATGACTAGCTAGCAGGACATCCTGTACGTCGGTAGCGTTAGTGAGTGTAACACGAAGTAACCTCGGGTGATTTTGATGCTTAGTTTACTTTTCCTGAGTGAGCCGTGCGACCGTCAATGGCTCTATTCGGGAAAGTTCAAGCTCCTTGTTTAATCCTCCCTAGTGCATCCTGTCATTTTTGTCGTTGAGGTTCACGATTATGAGAGAGTCATCACGAACCGTCATTGTTTTCCCAGGTTTTCCGGTGCGTTCAGGTTCAGCACCTTGTTGTTTGGAGTTCGAAGCACCTTTCTGATTCCTAGGCACTTTGATGGCCAGACATTCTTAGGAGTAGACTGTGCGGTCAAATCAGCAGCTGATTTCCTTACAATACTTCAGATGTTCAGCTTAGGCTGTGACGCCTAGTCTTTTTTAGCTCTGTTAACGTGGGTCCAATCACCTACAGAGTTCTTGAGAACCACTGCCGCATTCAAGGGCTGTGAGCTGGGAGACCCGAGGTTGCTGAAGTAGTCTGCTACCATCAACGTAATGATGGTGCTGAGTTTCATCGTGTCATCACTGGTGGTGATGCATGCTCCATCAATAGTAGACCTGTCGACGTCGCTATTCTTCTTTTCATTGCGCGTCCTTGTTTGTCTATCCACCTTATGACCGTCTTTTTCCAAGTTTACTGACAACTTATTCTGCAGACCTGTCAATAGGACAATGATGTTACTTAGCGAAACTACAGCATCCGTGTTGCACGTAACACATACCCACTTATGATCCGACTTGCTGAGTCTGTTATAAGCAGTTGCTGTGAGATCTATGCACGTTTCATGGAACCAACCTTTGCAGTTATCGCACTGCTTGACAGATGTAACAGCAAAACGTTATCCAAGTCGTTTGTATGAATTTTTCATGACTATATTGACGTAAACTGTATTATAGATGCTAGCATAAGCCCAAGACCGTTAAAAAGATGCACTGAAAAGCACACTAAAAACGGGCAAAAATGGATCAGAACGGATGTGATAAACTGAACCGGCCTTTACGTCAAAAGCTGAAAAAACCCCAAATAGTAAACTGAGACGAAAACAGTTAACTATTAAATTGGGTGAAACTCCAAAAGAAGTAATCTACCGAACGTATAGCTCAGAATAGATTCTTTAGATCAGAATTGGTACTGTTGTTGCGCAATAACACAGCAAAAGTTTGAAAAATGCAAATCACGTTGGGACTAAACTTCCAGTTTGAATTTCGCGCTGGAATCTAGAACAAAGAAATTTATTGGCTTTCAAACTCGTCACAGATGTACTAAAGAGTGAAAACAATGAGGTGGAACATATGGGACTTGACTAGTAATGGAATGCAAGATGCTGGTTTTTTCTCGGAATTCATCAGCTGGATATATCTGCATCTCAGAGATGATATGAACTTCAAGACTTGAACCCAGTACTGTTTGCCTCAAACTTCACCTCTTTATCCAATCAAGTACTGAGTTCAGATAGCTACCTGTTCAATCCAATCGAATAGGATTGGACACATTGTTTAGTGAACATCTCATGGTTCTACTATCAAAATTTTGCGTTACTTTGCACTGGGGTGAAGGTCAGTTGACACTCGTTATGCTCAGTATGCTTATTGTAATGCTTTATGCAATTTTTATTTCAAATCCAAAACCAAAGTTGAAAATCACAAAATTTATGACTGGGAGCCGAACGAGTCTAGTATAGAGATAAACAAAACAACCGGAACAAATATTCAGATATATCTGGAAGAGCCATAGCTCTTAACCAGCCTTTTGTAGTAGATAATTTGTATAAAAGGGAGTAATTGTATTAGAGTGGACAGATTTCATGTTTTTGACAAATGTAACAAAATCCAACAAGTTAATCTGCCTATAAACGACGATAACTCGTCTGTATGGATATATGGAGGTGAGACTATAATTTTTCTAACCTTAAATGTACTCGAAAAGATTTTCGACAGTCCTTGCATTATCCTTATTTGATGCCGAGTAATTAGGACAAAAGTCAAGGGCATAGGGTTAAGTATTTTTGATTAACTGCAATACGAAGTTGCTCTGTAGTCAAACGGATGCGTAAATGTAGAGTTAAAAGCAAGAGGAGCTATCCTACTAGTTTGTCCGTGAAACAGAGTGATACTAGGTCAGTGTTTATTTCGGCATTAAAGGCTCAGAATCACAGTTCAGTTGGTTTCGGTTCGACGATTATATCCGATCTACGAACTATATTGCACGTTCATTATTTTTACTTTGGTGGCAAGCAATATTTTTCTCAGTTGTCTTAAATGTCTTGAGTAGTATTAAGGGATGTTTCTGTCACTCGTTATATCTAAAATTTGAGTCTTGTCTACCTTCATTTGTGGCTTCATCTTCGACTTTCATGAAATAAAATTGGCCGTATTATTGTTCTGTTACTCGGAGACAGTATGTTTCCTTTTGTGGGAAAATTATAGGTTTACTTTAGGGCGCTTTCCTCACACAGAAATATAGACCAAACTGTTTTTTACGGCAAATTTTAATTATTTAATAGAATAATAAGTTAAGGATATTTATTTAAATTTCTCACTTTTTGGTGCCGGCGATTTCAGCATCGTACAAACCAAACAGGTGAATTGTATATAGCCAATGACTGGTTGATTATTTTGTAGGATCATATCCAAATGTCTTACCTAAATAATATGAACCGGTGTATCTAAAGAGATTTATAAGTCAGCTTCTTAATTAGCGACCAACAGCAAGGGATGTTATTTTTCACGGATGAAATTAAATAGACTCTTTAGCTGTAATGATTAGTCTTTTTTCTATCCGTATTCCAGAAAATTTGTCTGGCATACATCGTGATGTCGTCAAATGTTGGTCTTATCAGTCGTCAATGCAGACGTACGTGCGATCGTTACCAGTTTTTCGACCAAAAAATAGCCGTCGAAAAGTTAACTGGTCTTGTTTTAGTTGGAGAGACGTTCAGCAACCATTGTTCTGAAAATACAGGTAAATTGATACAATCATATTGACACGTAACAGATGCGAAAACAACAAATCCTCCAACGAAAAATTACATTTCTTCCCTTCAGAAGTTTCATTGTAATATATGTCAGTTGAAGATGGATAATGCAGTAGATATGGTATCTTTCACCAAAAATGTTCTATGCTAACGATTATTTTTTCACTCCAGCGGGAACACTTCAAAAGTGAATGGCATATCTGCAATATAAATCGATCCTTACGTGGTTATTGTCCACTAAATTTTGATCTATTCGAAACTTTAAGACAAGAGAAAATAGAAAATGTTTCGGAAATAAATACCATCGATCAAGTTGGAATGAGTCCAATTAATTCACTGTCAGCAACTATAGAAGCAAATATTGACAACAATGACTGTGATCATGGTACATCATCTAAAACAGTTACTAATTCGTCACTTACTGCATCGTCACATAAGCAGATGTTATTTTTCCGAAATTATAATTCAGAAATAGTTGGAATAAATCGTTGTGTTCTATTTACTAGGAAGGTAAACAGTTTTCAGAATAATAATGATGTTAACTTTATTCGGTATGGTATATATATACTTAGACACATTTGCAATACGTAATTGTGCAGCGATTCGGAAGTTGATATTACAGCCACAAAACCAATTTATTTATTTAAACACATAAACGTTATTACAAGGAAGCACCAAATATGCGTCACACTTTGTCATTCGATTTTTGTGAGGGCTAGAATACTGCTTGGTCGCTCAAACCAAAGCAGGTGGTTTCCTTAAGGAGTCATACCCCGAGCCTTTGAACTGAAGGTCTAATCCACAAGCCAGTGAAACAACTTTAGGAGATGCAGTCTTGTGGTAGCCGGTAACCAGCAGTAGGATCATACACCATTTGTTCCTTCAAAGTCCTGGAGCCCATGTACACCATTGGTTTGAAATCAGGATTTTCCAACTGTCCTAGGTAGATCCTCCATATCCACCAACTCGGTCAAAGCTCCGGACATTCGTTTTTCGTTCTCAATTTCCTAAAAAACACCCTTGTCGCAAGAAGGCAGTGAGTGGGACTTCCCTGTCAGTGGCTGTATACTCATGGCCATGTGAGAACATTTCGAGAGATAGAGCTGACTCTGTCCACCCTCGGCCGTACCAGGGCATTTAGGGGCAATTGAACCAATCGTGCCAGTAATCAAAATTAGGATAAAATTGCATTTTTCATAACAATATACTTTATTCTCTCGCGTTTCTCGTAGTGTAAATGCGTATAAATGAGATTTGCGATAGTCTTAACAATTTTAAATAGGCACCTACGTACATTTAGACACAAGTGTTACTAACGGGCCTAAGCGAAAGGGCAAGTTACTACAATATCGAAATGGAGTACGCTGTCCATTTCATTAAGAACCAAATCTAGATAATGACAAATCGCTACTACACGTCCGACACTTATCTTTAATAATGTACCTTTCAATTTTATTAGTTACAGTATGACTGAATGCAACTTCCTTTATCAATAAATCTGTGGAGCAGGTTTAGCACTTGATCTTAGATAACTGAAGCAGTTCATAGTATTTTAGCTTGGTGTTGTTTCTCATTAAATTCAGACTATGCCTTTAACAATGGATGAGTTGCTGGGATCTGTTTCGCGTGTTCGACAAAGTCGGAAATGGGCTATTCTTCTTTATTCTGGAGGTAAATTCGCTGGTGGCATTTTTGATGGGTAAGTTACCTTGAGGTTGGTTTTTTAAACAGAATTTGGGAGAACTTTAAAAAGCTGCAGTTATATTTATCTTCTACAGTTTTATATGTCGTTTATAAAAAATTGCATCATAGTTCCATTATCCAGTTTCCTTACAATGCTAGTAGTATGCGCACCAGTTACTATATTTTATAGGTAATTGGAGTGAGCAGCAGTACTCAATGTTGTGTATATCATAAATTCCGTGATCTGTCTAAAACGTACTATTAGCTGCAAATAAACAGGCGCATGAAGAAAGGAGGACGCCGTAGGGGGATGTGGAGGCAATGCATAGTAATTAAGTTCCCAATTATGTACGAAGCAATTGCTTTTCTGTACAAATACATCTGCCACAGTTTAAATAAAAACCTTGACGTTTGTACTTCACCGTGCGTTTTCTACGAAGGTTCGTTGATTGTATAACGGGCTATGTATTGAAGATAGTATCTGTGTTATCTAGAATGCGATCATCAGCTAGCTATCAGCCCACCGAAAAGTATGGATGAACATTGGCTGCAATTGCATGACGCCACGGAAATAGTGAGTGAAGTCGCTTGTGGCTTCGTAAAACGTCCCGCTTATAAGCATTGAATTTCTCCAGGCTTTTTACACTTCATTGAAGCACGTCGGTCTACCCCGGGTGACCGCAAGGAACTCAAACTCCTGAAGCGCCACAAATCACCAGGTCCAGATGACTTACTTCTGGCTCTTTTCAAAGATAGTAGCGACTTTCTGGTTAGGGAACTGACTGAGTTGTTTACAAAGGTTTTGCAATTAGAGAGTGTTCTAACATCATGAAATTAGTCGATAGTTGTACCTATCTTTGAAAAGGGTTCACATTGTTTCTGCAACAGATTCGCTATGATCGATTGCAGCTTCTCGTAAAACTGATCATTATCGTCGTCATTGCTATCATTGATGGGTGCATAATATTTAGTAACATTCTCCGTTTTGAAGGACGTTTTGATGGTCCCAGATCCATTAGATTTCCATCCTATGAGTGTTTTTTATGCTCCTTTGGACAGCGTTAGTGCAACTCTCTGAGTGTGCGGAGCATTTTCTTCCTCAAGACCAGAGTAGAATAGAATCTCTCGAATCTAATATTTTCTATCCAACTTGGATTCAATGAGTTTCACTTATTCTGAGAATCACCAAGTTGTATTTCCTCATTTTGTAGCTATTTGATTGGTCCTCTCAGTATCCTACATTGCCAGGACGTTCCATGTATTTAGAAAAATTGTTGCTCTGTGACTTCAACTCAGTATCATACACAACCATGATTCTGTTCTTATAGATTTTTTATTGGTGCCATCAATTATGAAACAATTTTAGATTATAGCCTCAAGTGTTCTGCTAAAACTGTGTATACAGACGATTTTCGGAAATTTATCTGATCATCTAGTCAGTGAATCGGTAATCGGAATGCCCATGAAATTTCACGCGTTTTAAGTTTTTATCATTGCATGCAGGCTTAAAGTTTTCTTGAACCCAAATTAATGTTATAGAGTAAAAGTAAATCAATTAATTTTCACCAATCAGTACTATTCCGAATATGTTTGTCATTATATTTTTTCACTTTCAAAGAACAAACGAGATTGTTCATAAAACTTTGCGCAACTATACAGTACGCGCTAAACAAGGTGGTGGTCAATCATCTTATGATTCACAATGTGGTGGTCTTGGCGGAGTGAAATCAGCTGGTGCTAATCTTCGACGTCATGGTGAAGCAACTATTCGTAATGTAATTATCGTTAATAATTATTATTGCGTCACTGTTTTACATACCCATTTCCTAGTGATTATGATGATTTCGATATAATTACACGATTACGAACTTGTCAAGTTATTGAGATAGCATACAATAATCTGTTGTTACCGCTTACAAAGTAAAGGAAGATAGCAAAGAACTGGCTTGTATCTGAAGAAGTTTATGTTAAGTGCTTTGGTCTTTTTACTTGGTCAGTCAGGTATATTGACTGAAGCGAGAAAATCAGCATTGAAATCATATGATAATAACAAGACGCAATCGCCTATTGGTTAGAAGACTTGGATTTAAACCCATGAGTTGTAGATGCATCTAACTCAGTTCAGGTGACTACATGTAGCGTCACTTTCCCTTACACTATGTGTGACTTAAAGCTAATTACATTAGCCTGTACTTGATTGTTGAGTTGCATAAAAAATTCAAATCATGATAAATTAGTGAGACATATAATCTCAGTTCCAGTGAGAAACCGTGACCAGTGGGGTTCAACCATATCGGATGTGAAGCAGTTACCCGCTACCGGTAACGGTAGATGACTGCACCATGTTGCGAATTGATTTAAACTGATTGAAGAATTTGTACTCACTACGACACCTTAAGGTTTTGGGTTCGATCCCGTGTGGGATCGTAAATGAACATTGCTACTGAATAGCTGCTTTGTTCAATTCAATCCATTTTAAGATAGCTTAAATCATAGATTGACTTCAGCTAGAGACAGCCGTTCAAAACAAGGGATTACTGAAAAGCTTTTATGTTCTAGTGAGGGACTCATCTGAGGTACGCATCTTTGACTCCAATTAAGGCCGAATCTGAAATCCTCAGATCCAGCTGTGAACGTATCACTTTTATACTACTAAGTTATCGTGTGTCAGTGAATCATTGGATGCTTTTTTCATTTCTCCTGGTTATTAGTTCCTTTCTAAGATTTTCTAAATTTTTTTAGGAAATAAGTGATCTTTTACATAACAAATGGCGTGTTCTGTTACAATCTTGCCAGCTGATATTTTTGTGGTCTCCCAAAGTACATCGAAGTATATTTTTTAATCCACCTGTATCATCCTCATCTGTGCCATCTAATCATAAATTTACCGGTGATAATTTGAATGAATCAACTGACTATTCTTCGATTAATTCCAGTTATCGAATTTCCTCACCTCTTGTCCCAGATTCATTAGCTTCAAAAGCTTGTGACTGTCGACTTGGAATGACAATAGATGATCCAAGATTACGCAGAATACCTTGTCGTAGTAAACATATCACATATTTACACGTAAAAGAATTACACAAAGAATTGTCAACTTTTGATGTTTATGGTAAGATACACGAAACAATTCGTTTTATCCCCGATAACTTTATTTTATTTGAGTTTAGTATTTTACGTGATCAACTTATTAAATTGGATTGATCAACCACTGTTGACACATTAGGTTTTTTGTTCGGTTTCTATTATAATAAGACCATAACTTTATTTGGTGATAGTATATGATGCCATTCAGCTCGTTCATCTCATTCATTTTACGACTGTTTAGCTGAACATTCACATATTGTAGTGTTTGCGTTTGGATAATATGGTCAGATAGGATACTCGTTGATTCAAATATCAAAGAATTATCTGATAAGTTATAAAGTTATAACAACTATTTATTGTCTACGTCAATAATAAATGTAATAATTCTGCTCTGTCTTATTTTCAACCAGTAAATTGTCCAATATTGTTTTAATAAGTAGGAGTATGTTAATCAATTGTTGTCTGAGTGTATGATGTAGTATAGATGACTTTGTGGAATTGTAATTGTTTTTAACGGATATGTAGGCAAAAAGACAAGCGTCGATAAGGATTGTTTATTATCAAGATAACTTCATTATCATAACTGAATTCTTCTGCTGAATTATAACTGTAATTCCATCGGACACATTAAACATATTTTGCCTACTACTGTCAAGGTGTCACTTGCTGGGTTCAACCCACTGGATTGCATATTTTAGATTTATTTTATCCGGTTTATCAGTATCGATTAGTGTCTCTAAAGAATATTTTTACTAGTGCTTGGTGTTTTGGAGTCAGTTTGTTGTGAATTAACTGTGGATAATTATTTGTTAGTCATAAAAAGAATGAAGATTGAACGATTAAGTTTTAAGAAGATCTATACTGAGTAATTGATTTAATGATTAGACCATTAGACTTTTAATCAATAGGTCACATATTCAAACCCCCATCTACCTATTTCTCCTCGGCCAGCTAGCTATTTGTTATCATTAATAGTTTGGCTTCAGGCCCCAGTTACGTAACCGTGTCACATTCTTTGTTTCTACTCATCGAAATAAACTTTTTATCTGTAGCGTAAGTAATAAATAATAAAATACGACTTTTTACTTGTTCCCTGTTCTCACCATCATTATCTTGTTCTTTTACTGCACTTTTTGAACAGATCCTGATGCTAATCTGGAGTTTCTCAGTAAATCAGGTCGAAATCAATGGCGCAAATTATCTGAAAGCGGTGATGAAACTTTGTTAGAAACTAAAAGTGGTCGATTAATTTACGGTAAGCATTTTCTTTCTGTAGATATTACTAATGAGTAGATGTTTATCAGTTATACTAATTGTTCCTTATAACTTAAGTTGCAGCTTATTTTTATACTATTACCGACAATTACTGGATTAATAGTAATAATAATAATAATAGTAATAATAATAATAATAATAATAATGGTGATAATCATACTAAGTGGTTTGTGATTTCGAAGAAGAGTTATTCTGAATTAATGCGTATCTTTGTAATATTGTGGTTAATTTCAAACTATATTAGCCAGGATTTTGAAGCATTGTTCATTTTCATAAACTAACGTTTATTTATATAATTAGAAACAATCGTGTGATATTAGAAAATGCTTGAGTCGATCACAAAATTATAAATAATTCATACATTTATTCAATTAGGTTAAGAAAGAACAATAATATATCGAGGCGTGTTATGTCTTAATCAACTAGAGATAAATTGACATCATCTGGAATTCATCTGTTTCATTTTCTAATTCTCTGTTTAAATGTACAATTGTAATGAAAATCTGAAGGTTGGACTGTTGGCGAGACTATAATTCATGGACGAATCAATGAAATTAAAGGTAGTTAGTCCTGGTTGTCGGCGCCAAATTCATTCATCCATATGATTAAATAGCAATTCAGCATTATATCTGATGCCAGTTCGTGATAAAAACTTTTATCCCTTATCCCTAACTTTAACTTCCAACTCTAAATCTTAATTTTAATTTCTCACACTGATTTGTAAACCTCTTTCGACCCTAGTAAGTAGGCGAATTTTCTCCAGGTCACTCTGGGGTTTCTTAAACTTCATGTATTAATTATAGTCTCGCCGAACTGTTCATCATCGATTACGTTATCATCATTTTGTCGACATATATGAATACTGTCTAATAGTTCTAAATTTCTGCTTCATTAAAATAATTTTATTGCTTTTTCCAAGCTGAACTATAATTCACGATGAAAAATAATCTCATATTAAGCTAATCTCAACAAAATTTTCAACCAAACGTTTATTTTTTGTTGCTCACTAGTGATTGATTTTCTAATGAGTTCTTGAATTTCTTATAAGAAGTTGTAACTGATAAAACCCAACCATACCGATAGTGACTCATCTTTACCCACCATTAGTACTGGATAATGTATGTCGTAATCACAAGCTTGTTGAGTTTTAAAATATAGATCTATTGGGCTTTACTGAAACTGATATTATTGTAATCAGTTGGAATCGCCACAACAATATTGTTTCATCCTTTTCACATCTCAGTAACATTATAACCCTTGTAATGTAGAAATACTACGTAATTCACATCTATTCTTATTGGTCACTTTGCCTCGTAAAATGCTATATATACTGTGATGTTCATTCATATAATTGTCTTTTCTTGAAGGTCCTGTATTCTCTCTTTCCTTATGCATGTACGACTGTCTTCGTTGTATATTAGTCATTTAGTATATCTAGTTTCATTAGATTCGTCTTCATATTAAAGAAATATTCCATCTACTGATCTTTAATTTCGACTCTAATATTGCAAAAATTGTAATAAGACCAAGTGACTCCAATTTAGTAGTTTGAAGGCGATGCGGTCTCGGCGAGACCTGAAGGTCATGAGTTCGATCTCATGTGTGTGTGCATGTGGTCGTGCACGAACAATAATGGTGTGGCATTGTGTCAGGATGAGACAGCCTCTCAGTACTTCTGTTTTTTTAATAGTTTTCCAGTGGATATCACTCCAATAACGAAACCAATTTTAACCTAATAAAAGCTGAAGTACGTGGCAAAAAAGCCTTAAACTAGATCAAAAATTTCCGTTTATGTCTTTTGGGATCATTGTCGCCACTCAAACTAGTTAATTTACCAAATGGAAATAAAATCACATACAAAACACATGTTATACTTAAAAAGGGATTTATTTAAATCACATGAGAACACCTAAAAATACGAAAAAGGAATCAATTTTTTTACTGATAAAAATGCGTTATTTTTCTTTTCTGTTTGGATCCGGCTCATGAGCGTACTTGCTCTCATGTTTTTCGGTTCAGTCCTATGAATGTTTCTGATTCTTATATTACTAAAGTAACTGTCAAATAGTTTTAATTTTCACCATGAACTGACACTATAAAGCGGGGTTGAAAAACAGAACTAGTGGATACCTTTTGTCCCGGTTCAAAATTTCCCAGTAGTTTAAATGTATCGTACTCAATGACATAAAACTCGTACTTCGATCTCCGAGTGATGTCAAAACACTGTTTTCAGTTAATGTCGATTGTGTTGAAAATTAACTTTATATTGAGCAATCTACAAATTCTTTATTTTAATTATATGGTCGGTTCTGGTTTGTTAGGTATTTGACTAAAAAAATATTGTGGGAGACATTTAGATTTATTTTTGGGAAAACTTACTGTTTTTCTCACACAGCTATACCTAATGGTGTAAAAGAAGATATGTATAAAGTACATTATCACATGACGGATCGTTTTTTGTTTTTACGTCTACGGGTAGTCTCTGTCTACACATCTGACAGCAGTACGGAATTTCAAAACAGGTCGTTGGTTTTGCTCCAAAATTGAATGAAATGGATATTATCATATTAGTCAGGGATTTCATCAAACTAGTATAGCTTAAGCCAACTGAAAACCAAATTGGGGGTTATTTTTGTGATCTTAATTTCTTTTGACAGTAGAATTCACTTATTACCTGCCGATTTATAAATTTTCAAACATATTGTTTAACTGAAGTTTTTACCTTGCTACTTAAAAATCGACAGTCGAATTAGTAAATAATTACTAGTTTATCCGATAAAAAGCCAAACAGATCATAAAAAATTGATTTTATAGACTGTAAAGTTGCATCACTCCCATCCTCATTTGGTAAACTCTCAATTTAACGAAAGAGGCTCATTATGTCGTTGAAAAAGGATGAATACATTTTTTTGCGAAGGAAGAATTTTTTTTCGACAGTTTCATCTACATAAGCTTTACAATCGTACTTATAGTTAATTTGTCTGCTAACAGTACCAGTCTATAATAGAATAACACGGTGTTGAATAATATGAAAACTCTTAAGTGATAAGCTTCGTCCATAGAGAGTGAATCGGGTTTCATTTATGCTTCAGTGGGAACAAGCTTTGAAAGTTCGCATACTGGACATTCCAGGTTGGCTTTCTGTATATCGAGCTTTTTAGACAATCATTAGCTCTCCTTTTGAAAAATGTTATCTAAGAAGTAAGATTCTGAATCCAACTGAGATTCCATCTTGAACTTAATCGATTGATGTCAGGATGTTGTTGAAGTTGGTATTTTGTCACAAATGATGAATGTGTAATCTCTTTTATATGTAGGATCTGTCACTCGCTGGTCTATGTATAGTGTTTTCGAGATCGCCAATGAAATAGTCAAATAGGAGTGGACCAAGTGGGTGACCTTATCACTACGCTGCCAGTTTGTCTATATAACTCATTATAAGATTTAAATTGGACGCAGAGTTTTCTGTTTACTCCCATTTTGTTGTGATAGACTTTTCCCGCTCCTACTTGACTATTTCATTGGCGATCTCGAAAACACTATACATAGACCAGCGACTGACAGGTCCTATATATAAGATCTCCACATCGTCTCTGTAACACCTCCGTATGACTATTTTGAACTTCAGTGGGACAAAATATCTCGGTAGTGGTTAGTTTTTGGGAAGATAGGAGTGCAATCTATCATAGTGATCTATTTACTGGTCAAAACATTGTTGTGATGTTGCTAGCATCCATTAACATCACCTGCTAACTCATAAACCTTTAGGAACCTCCACATAAAAGGCGGTGTCAACTATTTACTCTTCGTTAAAATTTCATGGCTGACAACACCAATATTGTCAAATAAACATCTTGTTTTTATTAGATGGGTCATGAATATCATTCAGAAAAGATAACTATTTCTTGTGTATGACTTATGTTTAGTTCTTTAATTATAGCCTTATTTCTCCTGTTTGCATCGCTTTATTTTTTAGGTCCACTTAGCCTACTGGAAACTAGTCCTAAAAAGAATTTATTGTCATCAAGTTCAGATAATTCTGATTTGTCAGATTGTGTCAGTTCACAAGACGATACTGATGATGATAGCAATGATGATCGAGTGGAGCAGATTATGAACTCAGAAGATAATATTAGGAAAACCACAGAAACTGTCAGGAAGACGAAACCAAACAGTCAATCTTCATTGCTTTCGACTTCCAACGATTCTGAAAGTAATGATGTCAAAGCAGTGACTGATAATTTCGAAGGTTTGTTCCGACTGTTTACGTAATGCGTCTTTATACTTTGAGATTATATGCGTAATATTTTCTCACTGAAGCAAATTGTTTTATTTGGTTCGGTATCGACTGACGGATCATTAAAATCCAGTGTGTCGTCTTTATTATCTTCACTATCATCGTCGGTGGGTGTGTAGCAATGAATAACATTGATTGTAACCTTTCCCTTCTTTCTTTTGAAGGATATTATGACAGTCGCGGAGCACTGGATTCCCCATCCTATAGGCACTTTTTGTACTTCTCCGGGCAGAATCAGTGCGAATCCCTGTGTATGAAGCACTTTCTTCTTCGTGACTTGAATACGACATTTTTCCTGAAGTTAGTTTTTTTCTGTCCAGATTGTGTTTAACGAGTTTCATTTATTCCAAGTAGAGCTTCGTTGTATCTTCTCGTTTCTGTCGATATTCGAGTGAATTTCCTGGTTCCTCACATCCGGACATTTCATTTCCCTATATTTATTGTTGCCTTGGTTTGTAAGAGGGGGTTCTGGACACGTGGTTTCCAGAGGTTTGCAGCTCTCCTGAAAAGCGTCATAACTCTTGTATGTGAAGACCCTCAACTCCCAGAGCAGATTTTTGCTTGTTAAGTTGGCTTTATCTGGTTAGCGTTTTTGTATTGTAGTTCTCTTCTACGAGTTAGGGTTATTAACCATAATCCAACCCTTCCCCTTTGCTCGAACTCGGGATCCTCAGTAATCCTTGAAGAGGAATAGTTCTGCATATTTTTTACTGTGTATTTATTAGATATTCGGTTATGATATTTTATAACACTCATATTGTAAGCTTCCATTTCATTCATAAACTGTTTTTGTATTATTGTTAATTCATTATGTATCTATTATTCGGCTTTGTATCATGTAGGACCACCTAGTCATATATCTACTTTGGTCTGATCAACCGAGTAGTATCGTTAGCCCTCACATTTAGAGTGTGGCTCTTACTAGGTATCTGGTGAATGAGTTAATTAAAAAAAGTGGTGCGTTGTTGCCGTATAATTGATGCATATTAACCTGTGCGCTTCTGAATCATGGCACGATACAATAATAGAAGCTGAATTGATTGACCACCTTCGTGTTCTAATTGCGCTTTGGGAATATAATTTACGCAAACCAGCAAGGGTTAAGATATCCGAGTATTGTTGGTAATCATTTGTATTATTGCTGAAAGTGGTAGGCATAAATCGTGTTGGAATACTTGTTTCCGACTTTAAGTATAATCGATCTTACATATTCGTATATATTCCACTGGTTAATTCTTCGAGTACGGTTAAATTCATTCCTATTCGAGCAATCAAGCAATCGAATACGCGTTGGATGCAAGTCAATTTGTATTAGGAGCAAATTAACACAACAGATCACACCTTAGCAATCAAATCAGACACAGGAAAGGGATGTGAATGAATTGATTTTGTTTTGAATATCACTATAAATGTGAACATAAGTAGCAAATTATTAACCAACTGCGTCTACAGCAAATAAGAGGATGGATAAAAAAATACTAGATATGTAAATAGCCGCACACATATGGGGATATACAATATAACAAATATCGTTACAATGAAACATGTAAAGGTCACACAACAGTGTACCATATCACTTCACGATGCAATTGTTTATTTGATAGAGTTTGTAATTCAAATGTATAATAAGAGTCACAATAGTTCACTACAAACGAAATCCTCACAATTGGGCAATGTGAGGAGATTGAATTTATAACCTCTCTAGTTATCTAATGTATTGATAATTACTTGAATCTAATGTAGATAGAGTTTAAAAATTCATTGGATATTTGCAAAATAACACTTTTGTTATGAGTAATATCCAGTAGTCACTATTCACGCAATGGTGCACGCCTCAATTATTATTCGTGTATTATTTCATTTTAACATAATATGAAAGCTTAGTTTGAGTCTTTTCCCCACTCTTTTCTTGTTTTGTGTAATAAATTGCTAATGAGATTTTCTTTTTTACTATAATTAAAAATATTACACAGATTTATATTTCACCTATCAAAGTTGGCATAGACGTTTACGTGTAGCAATTGCTTCTGGAGATTTGGTTATTTTACGATCTTTATTACCAATGGATATTTCCAATATAACTCAAAGCGATAATTTAAATGAATTGGAGGAAACAGTTCATAATTCAACTGCTCCTTTGAATACTACTACCACTACTGCTGCTACTACGGCTAATCTGCTGACCACTACTAATACATCCCCTATTGGTTGGTGTACAATTTTAAGATGACTACTTAACATTTTCAGGTTTTTTAAATTTATCAGTGTGTAGATGATATTATTTGTCCCCAGTATTGTGGACTCTCAGCTCTGATTTGGATACACTGGATATCACCATTCTGTTTTTTTTTCTAATCACGGTTAATCAGAAAAGGCAGGACTCTCAGGGAATATTTATTGACAGCGACCGAATAATGCTGAAATTGGCAAGAAGCTATTCAGTAAACAAATGTATCTACAATATCTTTGGAGGTAGGGAAGAAAGTTGGCACATAGAATAAATATTGAACCGATGGTAGGGCATTTAAAAAGTGGCGTTGATTAGGATTTCATTATTACTCTATGATCACAAAGTGTCAGTATCGATTTATTTATGTGACTTGAAACTCCCTCGCTTCCGATCCCTGATAGAGTCATGTATACTCATTGCTGAGGATTCTCATGCATCAAGATGAACCAGCTGTTCAATGCTCCTTGCTTTTCAATAGTACTCCAACTGCTGTCAATCTCTAACATAAGAAGTGATAAGAAGCGATGAAGAGTAAGATTATTAATTGGTGAACGTTCAGTTTAATATTCGTTTGTATTTTGACAAATTAATCTATGAACCATTTCGGTGTTATCCTACCGTATTCTAATAATTATTCATTTAGTTTTGACGGTGTGAAGTTCGTTTCAAGTAGTAATTGTTTTAATGTAATTAATAATCACTGCTTCTTAATCGTTGAGAAATGTGTCAAGAGTTTGGCGTTGTGTCGACGAGCCTTTGTTTTGCAATCACCTTCACGTTGGTATTTCTGAGTTGTATAACAATGAACAGGTTATAACGGTGGCGACGGTGTTAACTTATAAGTTCCAGTTTGGATGGTATCTAGTTTCCGTTAACAATGAATTCTCTTCTGATTCATGTTATACCAGTACTTTAGATAGATCAACTTGTTCAACTTTTGTTTTGTGCTGTTTTTGTAGAAATATTATTGCTTATATTTCATCTAAGAGTTTATCTTATTTACAACACTACAAAAGCGATATTCTATTATTTCGAATAACTAGCAAGAAATAGAAATTCATATGTTTATGTTTTAGAATGTATGATTAGTACATTGTATTCTCTTTACACTGGGGTTTAAATTATAATTTTATGAAATAAAATATCGAGTCAAATATCATGTGACAAAATCGCCAATCAGAATACCGACTTCTGTTACCTTGCTAAACCAATGGTGCGTCAACCAGCACGATCAGCCTTGAGTCAACTCTGAGTCCTTATCGGTCCTACGTATAGTAGTTTCTCTCCTAATCCAGCCCGTTCAGTATATATAACATTTCATAAATTACTCCTAGCAGTTGTCATTCATTTATTCTTTGTTCGTATATAAGAAGTGACATTTCATCTGTTAGGTAAATAGAGCGAAAAAGAGACATTAACACACCCATACACACAAAAACACGTTTATTTATTTTTAAAATGACTTACTGATATTAAGTGTTTATTTGCTTTTGAGATATATTAAATATTTTCGTATTGTTATTTATGCAATAGAGTGTACTTCACCTGGATCATCAACTGTACCACCATATCGTGTTTGTTTAAAATTAATTAATCATCCATTAACTGATGGACGAAGACTTTTACATGTAGCTGTAGAATTTCAAAGTGATCCTGAACTAATTCGTTTATTACTTGAATGTGGATGTGATCCAGCATTTAGGTCAGTGTAGAATATTATTTTAAGTTACACATACATAAAATGTATTAATTTATATTTCTGTGTAATCATTTTGTTAGTTTGTTGATTTGTTGAAACTTTTTCTTTGTTCTAAACTCAATGCTATAATGATGATTTCTTGCATACACATCGTAGAGTTCCAGCTTGCTGGTTTAAAATTCTATTTCAAATAGTTCATTTTGGTCAGTAATCGAATAATTTACAAAAAAATACCCATATTGTGAATTAGAACAACATATATAAGCGAGCAATATTGTTTTTGATTAGATCCCCATCAGGCTTTAATATACAGTAATATTTATATGCATATACAAAATTACTAAACCAATCAAGGCAGTTCATAATTCAGTGATAACAGTAGACTACATAGATAAACATAATAAGTAAAAAGTACGAACCAATGGTGTGATGACAGGTGTAATATTTGTGATAAGAATAATCAAGACTTATATCCATGTTTCATAGTGGGAATAATTCCCATACATGCTGAGATAACATTCATAAAAACTGTAAGTTTATGTAATAAGACATGTTCAGACAATTGGACAATGAAGCGTGTGTTTGGATAAAAATAGGTGGGAGGGGGTGAACAAAAATAAACGAAGAAAAAGTATGGAAAATAATAAGAAATAAAAGTGTTACAAATTCCTTATGCACTCAAAGACTTGGATTGTTAGCTCGGATTCCTATGGATTCTACTATATTTAAGAGACGAAATCGAACCCCATAAGAAAAGCTAGATAATTCACTTTAAATGACATATTTCAGTCTGCTACATGACCGCTATCGATCAAATGTGGTAGAATCGAGCTGCGTATTGTCTTGACGAAACCCTTTCCTAACCATGAAGTAATCACTAACTTGTTGTCTCAGTTGTCTGGTAGTGCGCTCAATATAGCTTTCTCCACAGGAGCAGCTGAATTCGTAGATACACATATATGTGTCAGAACCATATAGTGTTACTCACAGTTAAATGTTGTCTCAAAATCGAGTACATAAGCAATTATATTTGTCAAATAATTTGTATTAGTTTAAATAAAGTAAGAACCAACAATCGTAGCTGGATAATACATGAGTTCATTTATTTCATGATTTCTTTTCATCTGCTTACAATCTATAAATCTAGAAAAAAAAACAATAAGTACGTAAAACTTCTTTCTGAAAAGTTGTAACCAGAGATTCCGTTTAACATGTAGATATTGATTGATGAAAAACAATAATTTTGGGTGGAATGAATAAAAATCATTCAAATGGTTTTCTATTCATAGGTTAAATAATACGAATAGAATATCGAGAAGAGTATGAAGACAGAATTCCTAGAAATCAAAGGATAATTTCGTGATTTATGTAGTACTTAAAAAAAAAGACAACTAGCTGAGTAAACCTCAAGTAAGCAGGAAGAAATAAAGAAATTATAATAATGATCGTGAAAAACTCCTTATATAACAAGCTCATTAAAACTCTGTCCCTTTGACAATGCAAGATTGATAACCGTGTCTTTTTGGATGCAAAAATTTGATTTAAATATTTTTATAACAACCGTTTCAATCAAGTGTGATACATTCAAACTCCTTTATGTATTAATTGTCTCGAAAGATTTTGTGACATCAACATCATATCCACTTGTCAGGCGAATAACGAGTTCGATCAACTTATGATAGTAAAATTTAACACTGCACATTGCGAAAATTAGTGAAGGAACGAAATTGATAAGTAAAAATTATGAAATAATATTCAAAATTAAAAGGAAAGTTGAAGAATAAATACATCAATTCCGCTATGTGTAATTTTATATTTTCGAACTGTTGATCACGATTATTTTGTGAATTTCAACCTGGAAGCCTACACTTCTACACATAGTTCAAGTTAACTATCAAAAATATATCTCTATGTGTCAGTTTGGCTAGTTTTCTCTATACCACTGTTACACTAGCCAGGATAGTACGTCAGGTTTAGGGAATGATTGTTAGGTGTCGATAATTTGATGATGTTTTGAAGTATTGCAAATACATTTGTTGTTATAGGTTATAGATTGTCTCACCTAAACAGTAAATTGATTGTTACAGATGTATTCTCTAATTAATCTCTATCAATAATACCTTTTGTTATATATTTTGAATTATTTTTCACTTCATCTATAATATGCTGCTTTAAGGTCATAACTATAATTTAGAAACTTTTTAAAAATCTGTTTTGTTATTTTTATTTTATTTATTCGATTTTTCAATGATATTGTGCAACCAGTTACTAATGGCCCACATTCTTTCTCTGTGATAGTGTTTCGAAGAGGGTAGTGGTATATTAACGGGGATTTACTCAAGATTTATTTTTACAGCCGGTATACTTCTCCGTCTGCACAAATATTCAGGGTTAGATAGTAGTATATTAAAAATCTCTTGGTGTATTTAATAAACTTCTGAAATCATTCCATAAGGCTTTAAAATCTCATGGTATCAAGTTTGTTTGAAATTATCCTATTACATTATCCTTAGTTTATATGCTGACAAAGAACCGTATTCATAGTAAAAATTATTCAAACTAATTAGTGATTATTTTTGCGCAAGTTAATTTAACCAACAAGATGTCGATTTGCCTTTTAAAAGGCTATCAAATCGCATAGGCACTACTCTGTATTGCTTTATTGTCACTAAACATGTTTTGCGAAAATCGGAATCCATAGACTAGAGCGTTTTATTCACAGGTTTCTTCAAATCATTGTTTGGTGTACCGTAGAACTGCTGAGTGATCGTCGATGAGGTTAGAGATATTATACTGGGGAGGGGGGTTAAGCACGAAAGATCTATTGATAAGAGTGCGAATGTTGATCGACTGGGGTGTTTGAGACTGAGACCATGAGACGTATACCTTACCACCACCTCCACCTCCCTTGACATGCGGTGTTGGGTGGAGGATAGTATGATTTGAAGTAAGCTATGGAAGACCAAACCATGAAATGGTATCAGTTCGTGTAATTATTGGTTGTTGGTGTGAGTTATGTTGGTAAATGCAGACTGTGTGTTTGTAGTGCACGGGGATATAGTGATGGATGTTTGGAGATGTTGTGTGACATTGATTTGAATCTGTCATGGTGACTGTGATGTGTATACTTTTTATTGTCTTTTAGATCTTGAGTAGTAATGGTAGTAGTAGTAGTATTCGAATGTACATATGTTTTGATACGTTCTCGAACTATATTTCCAATATTTATTCAATGTTATTATGATTGTTATTGTGTTGTTTTGATTGTTCTACATTTGTTCCTGTTAATTTTACTTTGTTGTACCAATTTGGTATGAGGGTAATACAATATTGATATGAAATTATGCATTGATCATAAGTGACTGGTTGACACTTGGGATAACGTGTGGGTTCGGTGTTTTTTGTATAACAGCACTTGTGAATATTTACTTACCAACCACCTTAAAACGTTTATTTGTTACCTGTTGTATAACATCATTTAACATGGTTGACCTTCTGATTATGTTTGTTAACATTGCTAATGATATAATTATTTATTAAATTTTACAACTTAATTACTATATTCTTTGATATTTGATGTTGTATAGTAGTTTACATCGTGTTTTTTTTGTAAATGAGGTTATGAACTATGTTTTTAAAAATAATTTTCTATGAATGTTAATTATGCTACCTATATTATCTTCACTTTGAATTTCGCCGCATTCTCTAGAATTGTTGTAAAATCACTACGAGTATAGAAATGGTATAAACGATGTATTGAAAGTCGTTGTATCGATTTTAGTTGGTGTTTATCAGTTGGTATTTTGTATTCTTGAATGGAATTCTGGTTCTTCTTGTTTGCGTGTATGTGTGTGTGTGTTTAATACTATTTATTACTATCAAAGTTAAAACACTGTCAATAGTTAGATATATAAATTTGATTAACATTCTCAGGTTGTTTTAAAGTGAATTTTTTTACTAGTAAACGTTTATCTTGTCTGTTAACTTGAATTCATCTTGTTTTTACAGTTAAGAGACTAATATTGTCTTCTTCATTGTCACTACAATGGCAAAACATAACTTACTAAATTCTAATTTTATCAACAGTTTTTCTCTGACAATAAGTGTAGACATAGTTTCTCTTCAATTATATGGTGATAAAATGTTATTTTCCATAATGATAATAATGGTATACTTTAGAATTTTAGTCGTCAGCTGTTAATATGTTCAATGATGCTTATATGTAATAGTATTTAGATATTTGTAACTGAAAAGTTATGAAAAATATAGCATACGGATGAGCTTAAAAGAATTTCGACAAATTTCCAGCTAGTTTCTGGTCAATTAGAAAATAGCGTTTATAAATGGATAGTTTGTAATGGAAGAGTGTTGCGTTGTTCCAGCTATTCGAGGTTGGTGAAGCCCTGCTTGGAAAACCCTATGGGCTTATCTGAATTAGAAATCCACTCTCGAAGGCTCACAAACCCATCACATGGACGTGGTGTATTGGGGAAATATAGGCACTATCTGACTACTTTGTCCCTAAAATTTAGTGCCACTAGGTTAAGGTTTCTTCATTATTAAGGGTTTATGGTTTGAATTCAGGAATAGTGCTGGTTAGCTTGTTATGTACCATCTTAAGAGGCTAAATTAAGGGTTTTATATATTTTGCGCTATCGTTTTTACTCTATGTTTGTGAAGGTATTTTTACTTCTCACTATACATAGTTTTTGAATTTTGCGCAATAGCCTAAACATCGGATTCTCGATTCCTGTTTGCTTGTCCCTAGTATATACCTTTTACCGAAAAGGTTTACTCTTATTAATAAATTGTTGACTGATAATATACATATATCCTTCAATACTGTGTTGTAATTGAGATTGATAATATAACTTACGAATTAGTAATGAAATCAACTAATTATATTCTAATACTTGCTCATATTGTTAGTCTGGATTCTACTTTCCTTAACTTGTACACTTAAAAAAAACGAAAGCAATGATTTTACTCAAAACGTCAGTTTTGAAATATCTGAACAGACAAATTAAGCGAATCCTATTTATAAATTATTATTTTTTATTATCATTTTAGTGATGGGGATGGTATAACACCTTATCAATTAGCTACACGATTGCATAAAAAATCAATAGCTAATGTGTTTCGACGTTTCCGATTTCATCATCCGAATCGTTATGATTATGAAAAAGCTAAAGTGAGTTGTTTATACTAATTATGAACTTACGAATTTTTTGTACTGCATAATTAAAAATGCTTTATTCAGTATTTATTTTAAGGCTGTCAAGTGTAATGACTCAGTATTTGTAGCACCTAACTTCGATCCGAGCGTAGGTCACATGCTCGAACTCCGCCTCACCTACTTCGGTTCAAGGAGTTGGGTAGTGTCACTGATTCTACTATGTAGCGTGCAACACAAAATTTAGTGCGTAAACCTTTACTTGGTTAATAAGTTAGATTATCCTAAGGCATATATATATATATATATATATATATATAATTATATATATATATATATATATATATATATATATATATATATATATATATATATAATTATATTACATTAATGACATTGATTATGACTGACAGATAAATGAATCAATTTGTCAGTTAGGTGAAAAACTGTTAGCTTCTACTCAGATATACCCCTTGTCTTCTTCCTGCCTCTGAGTAATTGAAAAGACAGATTTTATTCTGAAGATTTATTGAAATAGACCTAAGAATATTAATTCACTTCAACAATTATTTATTTCATTTATAAAGATTTACGAAATTCTTGGATGTAGAAGAAAATTAGCCTATCAAGAGTGTAATGAATTTATAAGAAGTAAGGGTTTTTTTCTTTGAAGTAGAAATTAAGAATAACTATCATAGAGGATTCCGGATTAAAAGAACAGAAAATTCTAGTTCTCACTAACGTGAAACTAACAAACTATTCAGTACGTGAACATCATTTTGGTCATCCAAACATACCCAACAATTAGATATGTTAATTGTTTTAATTATCAATTGTTCATATCATAGATATCTTAATGTTGAATATATTGGTAAAATAAAACTATCCTGACGATCCTTAATGACTTATTAGTCAGTCAGAAAACAGTGTTTGGTTATAAAACAATTAACAATTACAATTAATGGATTTACAGTGGACACAGTTTTGACATGATTAATAAATCCTTATGTCAGAATGGGTTTTGTGAAGATTTATTTAGAAATTTCACTGGTTGAAATCATGAGTCAGTTGAAGCTAGACCACCATGGAAAACCTGGAAGCACTGGACGGCCGTTTCGCCCTGGTATGGGACTCCTCAGCAGCACGCATCCACGATCCCGCACCCCGCGGGATTCGAACCCAGGACCTACTGGCTTCGCGCGCGAGCACTTAACCATTAGACCACTGAGCCGGCATCCAACGGTGTTAATGTCTAACTTCAACCAATCCACGAAGTTGTGCCACCGTACACCATTGTCTTCAGTGAGTTCCTATCTCACAACAGACCTGGTTGAACTGCTGAGGAGTCCCATACCAGGACAAAATGGCCATCCAGTGCTTCCAGGTTTTCCATGGTGGTCTAGCTCCAATTGACTCATGATTTCAATCAGTGAAATCCTTATGTGTTAGATTATTTACTTCAGTAAAATAAAACCGGATTGCTGTAGCTATTAAGATTTGAACCAGAGTTGTAAATTAAGATTGGGTGTTAGAATAATTTTTTTGCACAAACACCTTCGATTATTCGTTAAAATACACCAAGCTTGTTACCCCTTATGCAGGAGCATAGGCCGCCCACCAGCATTCTCCATAGAACTCTGTCTTGGGCAATCCTTTCCAAACATTTATTTTATGATCACGCATAATACATATTTAAATCAATTTTAAGATTTTTTTGGGAACAAGATGTAGACAGTTTTTCATTTAGCTTCTATTTTGCACAGTATTTTTCACTGCACAAAAGTTCATCAGATGTTTTGTTAGATCTGAATTTTTTAAAAAAAAAAAAGTTTTAAAAATATATTTTCTAAATCCATATTTAGATACCTGCTCCATTGGATCCATCAAAAGAGGCTGCCAAACTTGAACGTGATCGTGAACGCACAAAACGACAAAAACAACGACAAAAAGAAAAACGTACTGCAGAACGTGCAGCTATTGAACAACAAAAGAAAGATGCTGAAGAACAAGCACGTTTTTTAGCCTTATCCGATCGCGAAAAAGTGAATATTGTTTATACTTGATAATGATAGTAATAATTTGAAATGTAAATTATCGGATGATAACTTAGTGATTTAAAGACTAAGTGCTCTTCATAATACCTAAAAGTCCTGGGTTTGATCTCCAGTGACGGGTCGTGGATAGTTACACGTATGCATAGTTCTATACTAGATGAAACAACGATCCAATGCTTTCTGGTTTTCAATAGTCGTTTCAATAAAATCAATAGTTCTCAAAAAGATAATAGTCATGAGATCACGTCCTAATTCGGTGTTGTATTTGTTTAGCATTGGATCATTTTACATTTATTTGATGTGAATCTCATTCACTTTAGCAACATTGTGACATCTAATTTTGTATTTCCCATATTTCGGTTATTGGTGACTAATCATCTCTCTAAGATTAGTGTATAATTAAATGTATTTTAGCCAAAGCATCGTCGTGTTTTTTCTGAAGGGTGAATAAATTCCTCATTTGTCATCAGTTTTTGTCTTCTTTCTTGTGTCATGGAAATCCCAGCATTTTCATATCCACATTACCAGCTTTAACAATAATATGAAACAGTTATGTAATGATTAGAGCGTTTGGCTTTCAGTCAGTTGTAGAATGACAACTAAAACTTTGTTACACTTATTTATTATTCGGATAGTTGAGTAGTATCGATAGTTTTTCCAGAAAATCTATCGCTATCTACTGGATAACTTCGTGTTTGCAGTGATAGGTACTGGGTTTGAGTGAAAATGTGAACACCAACACGTAGGCACCCGAATCCAGTTGACGAGTCCTAAATAGTACTAAATTTGCTTTACTGACCACGCTACCGGGCACGGTCAAACTTTGCTACAACTTGTAATTGAAGATATCGATGCCATCTGCTCTGGATGCAGATATGTTAATAGAGACTGATCACATCCAAATCATAATGCCAACAATGGAAAAACTGAACACATGACTACAATATTTTTTATTCCCACTATTACAGTTCTATTTACCTGGTTGCTGTTCGATATATGTATCTTTCTTACCTGTGATGAATTAAGGTCTCCTATCCATTTCTCTTTGTTTTTTTCCTTTGGGTTTTAAAATAAAATAACATACATTAGCGTGCTATCGTGACAGAACGTCGTTTGATTTCTTCTGGTTCTGCGACTGGTGAACCATTCATGGTATTCAGGTAATGTCAAATATGTTTATGTGTATGTTTTTATTTATTTGCATATGTTCAATTTCGGCTTAGTTAGGATTAAATCATGTTTGTTTTCCAATCAAGAGCACGTTGAAAGTTTCAATCATCGATATTAGATACAGGGTTGTTTTTAGCTGGTCTACCAAAAATAATGTGACTAAAATTAGAGTGGATTAGTTTTTACTGAGAAAAGATGTCTTAATCCTTAAGGAAAACTTTTAAAACATTTTAGCTATAAATATATGCAAAGATAATATATAATCTTACTGGTTTTAATTCAGTAGTATAAAAATAGTATAAAAATTCAGTCAATCGTGTTCAAGATCATCGTTCCACACTGCTGTCTTAAGTTAGGGTGAAACATCTGTTCAATATTTTAGCTTACAATGTGCTTTCAACTTATGTCACAGTCCATGATGAAAATCAACCTCAGATCACTTATTTTTCTATGTCACTGAACTCTATGAATAGACATGTTCGTAGTAGTGCTTATTGGAGGGTTTTGATGGAAAAGGTCTATTTTTTCGCAGTTGAAATCACGAACTGATCTTAAATAGATCCTGATTAGTGGAGATCGACCGCTGTCGAGTGTAAGACCTTTATGTATCTCAACCTGCTAATGAAGGGTTGCGCAAGATCATGGGTAGATTTAAGGTAGGCACTGCACCATTGGATGCCAGTTTAATGGTCTAGAGGTTAAGCATTCTCATGAATAATCAAAGGTCCTGTGTTCGATTCCTGGATGCGTGGTCATGGATGCGCTTAGATGAGATGTCTTATAATAGGGCGAAACAACCACCCAGTGCTTCCAAGTTTTCAATGGTAGTCTAGCTAGGATCAGTTCGTGATTGCAATTGTGAAAACCCCAGCATCCTGCACAAATCCCCTATACTGAGAAGATTAATTGTTGTTCGGAAATCATATGCCCGTATGACAAGAAATCGTTTTTCCAAGTTCTTAGTTTCATGAACATGTATTTAGAAAAAAATAAGTTAATGACTTTGGAAATTTAATGAGATTTCAGTTTTAATACGTTACATTTATTTTATTTGTTTCTGCATTTACAAAAGGGAAACTTGAGAATTGTCATTATCATGTGGAATTAAATAAATTATTGAGAAATTTTTATAACTAGATAAGAAATATTCGCTTTTCCGGTGTATAAATAACAATAATCGTAAGATATGATTGTTTGTTATCACTCATTAAAATTTGGGCATTATTTTATGAATTTAAGTGTAACAGTTTACTCGTTAGATAACCTCGATGATTCTTCGGAAATCTCTCCACAGTGTAGGAAACTGCTGAAGATACTGTTATTAGTCAGTGTTTAGAAATTTTCAAGAGGTATCTTTATTTTTGTGATTGACGATCTTGTTTTCCAGATGCATTTAGAAATTCAGGGTCAAATATAATTTTATGAATGCGCTGCTTTTATGTACATGAACGAACCTTCGAGGTGAAGCATCCCCTATACTTTCAATTAGTGTTTTTTATTCGGTGTTTAGTGTTGATATCTGGAGACTAGAAAGTTAGCTTTTAAACATTGAACTACAAGAAGTTATTTTAATTTCTCAATGAAATCGTCAATGCTAACCTTTTTTTACTTACAAATAGTGCAATCTATTTATTTCTTGATAAAAATCAATTAATTTACATTAGTTGCTTTTCGTTTATGCCAATCATTATTCATTAATTGAATGAATATAATTCAGAATTCAAAATGTTTGGTTATAGTTATCTAGGTAATTGAAATAGTAATGACAAAACCTTTCTATTCACAGTTCCAAAATGATTGTTCTTTACATATTTTACACCAGTCATCAGTGTTTTTCTTTATCGTTAAGCTTTTTGTTTAAACCGGATAGGAAAAAAACACTTGTTAGCACTGTGAACTACTATTACTACATCATGACCTTATTGGTAAACGTTAAGAAGTATCGTATATCCACATCAGTCAGTTATAAACACCGTGTTTATGTGCAGCAATTCACATTACCTCTTTGTATCATCAACACAAATAGACGAATGTTTAAGTAATAATGATAGTAAAGAAAATATTAAATATAAACAATGTAATTCGAGAAGAATAAATGAATTCGCATAATAGAAAGGATGAGATCATTTTAAAACCTAAAATATTTAAGAGAAGATGAATAGTGAATAATCCTATGAGTTTGAGATCAATTTTGATCTATATCATTCAATGTCTTCCATTTCAATCCATATGAAAATCATCTACTAATATATATATATATATGTATATTTCTTCTTTGCTTTTATAGTCGTTGTTTTCAATGCGGCTGTGATATCAGTGGTAAAGTTCCATTCAATTATATGGATTATAATTTTTGTACATCGAATTGTTTAAAACAACATCGTTTAAAATCAATAAATAATAACAGGTAATACAATTTTTGTAAAAAAAAATAATCACCAACACAATATTGATCGTTTCTGATTAAAAAAAATTTTTTTCTTTAATTTCTTTAATACATTGAAATGAAATGGAAGAACAATTTTGGAATGATTTTTAAAATTACAATCATTCATGATTAATAATAATAATAATAATAATAATAATAATAATAATAATAATAATAATATCATTATTATTATTATTATTATTTTTACTAGTTTTGTATAAAATGAAATGAGAATGAAAGTGTTTATCAATATGAAAAGTGTATTGTCCAATTAAAAAAACGAACAAACAAACAAGTGATTGAGAGTAATACTTGTATAATTACTAATATTATTATTATTATTATTATTATTCTCTTCATTATTGTGAATGAATTGTATACTATAGATGAAATCATTAAATTGTTTCCTAAGTTTGAATAGTTGTCTCAATAATCACTATCATGGTTATTATTTACTCTCCCTATTTTTTTGATATTAATGAACTGATATTAAATCTAAATGTAATGAAATGAATGAATATTCTAATTGACCAAGTATTTTGTCTTGTCGTTTTTTTTTAAAAATTGGAAATAACCGAAATCTAACGACTCATGAAAGTTGTTTGGATAACCGATGTGGATTGTATTTAGTAATCGATAATGTTATGTTACGAATGATTCCTGTTGTACAGTAAATGATTTAATAAGTCATCAAGGTTTGTAATTGTTAAAATGAATAAATATAATGCTGACCAATGAATGAAATGCATTTATACGATGTAGTTACTCACGAGACCAGGTTATTGACTAGAAACTCCGAATTAACTGACATTAATGACAAGTTCACTAGTCAGGGGAAGGGGTTTTTTCATCTTATAAAGTAACAAATATACTCGCTAATCATAAACAGACGTCAATAGTAATTGGTGGAAATCAGTTTTGTATATCACTCACTCTCCAGTGAATTAAGATTTGATTTACTGTTGCATATAATTCTTGCAGACGTTATCAGTACCGGTTCTTTGGTCCGTTGGGCAAATAATCGAAGCAAATATGTGTTCTTGCCGTGTAAAAGCGAGCTTTTTGTTAAATTGTATGGTTAACCAACAGGAAAAATTAAAAATATTTGTCGCCAGCTTGCTGTAGGTTGTTCATTAAGCTTCTTCGGTTCCGTTTCCAGGTCGTATTTTTAATTATTGTAACAAGCAGTTTGCCCACGTGATCATCAGTTCAATTTCTCACATGACAACAGAGGTAGTTTACAAGATAAAAGCAGGAATGTCGAGACAACAGTATCAGGGATGGTCAACGAAATAGAATATAATTGGCAAACAACGAGTGAAACTGGGATTAGGGAATAGTAGAACCTGCTAATTAAAGATGAATATCGATGCTAAGTCTTCCCGTTCAGGATTTGAAACTATAGGTTTCGAATATCTCCAAGGTGTTCACAAATAACCTGTTGCGCCTGAGGGTGAGAAAGGTTTGCAATCTCTCAAAATGTTCTCATGCAGTTATGTGTTGGTAGTCTCTACCTGGTTGGAGTGCTATTGATAGTATGTCTCGGTGATGTAAGACCTTATTAGATACAAATTAAAATAGAAGTCGATTATAATCCTGATGTAATTCTGTTTTACATTCTTAGTAAAATTGAGGGGAATTCGTTAAACTGAAAGAAGAATCCCTTAATTCTATTGATAGCTGATTTGTACTTCGTATTCTATACTGTTTGTCGTGACCTTAAAGCTAGGTTTTCATCACATGATTTATTCACCAATCGAAATACGACTTATTCAGTCTTAGAACTGTGCTAAACCAAACACGTTCAACCGGTATGAGCAGCCTAACGTCCTTATTGGTCTTTCGTTCGCCCAGCCCAACTCATCCAGTTGAGTCCAGAACACCAATAACAGCTTCAACTATGCCAATCATTTATTCCAAACATACGTCGTTTATATATCAGCCAAACAGACCTCATCTCATCATGAAATAGGAAATAACATTTATACAAGATCAAGCCAAAAAGTGGCTGTGAATGTGGGAGACTGTGATCAATAAACTGAACATAATATAAGAACAGTAAATCGTATAATAATAATGTATAGGTCAAAATGAAGCTTATAATAAGAGGAATATAGATATGGATAATCTAGCTAGTGAATAGTTATACCATAAGAATATATAGATAATATTAGTCCATTAATAGGTCTCAGAAGTTACTCGTAAATTAATCTTCACTAGGATATAATTGTTGTTGATTTTTTACTTCTTTGACTACGCTCCTTTGTGCTCCTTTATCTCTTCACAATGTGATCTCTTTATTTTCTCTGCCCGGTCGTACTAGCTTTTATGTTTTCAATAATACAAATATTTAATTAAAAACGACGGAGATCAGAAATGTTACGTTTCGCATGTGACCTTGGTCGGTAGTTTAATGTCTTTTGCCTTTCCATTCATTGCGCTTTTCGGATCTAAACTTAGTTATTTTTATACTACCAGTGCTTACTTAATCATCAGAAGACAGTTGTACATAAACTGGAAATGATGGAGAGTAAGATACAAAAGCCGTATTGTTTATGTGCTTGATGACAGTGATTTTGTTGCCGAAGTGATTTAATGTTTCCGTTTCCATTTTTAGTCATTTTGAGACTTCTGCTTTTCTAATTAAATATTGTGCCGACATATTTGTTTCAGTTGTATATTATGTAATTGACTAGACGTTTGAGGTATCAATTGACATGCACATCGATGATTCAGGAACTATTTTTCAGCCCTGAACTTGCACTTTTATTTATTTATCCCTTCATATAAAACATATTAACACCGAATATCAATAATTATTAACTTAATCTTACACATACAATTCGTTTTAAGTTATTTATTTCTATGTCGTGGACTTTTCACATGATTACCATGTAACTGACTCATGTTATCCTATTTTACAAAAATCAACATCCGAATGTGATTGGTTTAACACAGTATAGATTTGATTAATAAAAGCTATATATTTCTTTGATGATTTTGATTATTACCCTGAAGAATTCTAGACAAGTTAGCTGGACAAAATGTTGGAATGATTTAAATTTCAATCGCTGAGATTATTTTAAATATAATTTTCACATAAAAATGTCTTCTCTATACTCGGCGTCCAATTCCTGTCAGACTATTCGTTCTAATCTTGACGGATATTCGAATAAATTCAATTTCACAATTGATTGATCACTGGGTGCTGATCAATCACATGCTTGTCTAGTCCTTATTAGTGCAGATCGAATGCTATCGATCATGTTGCAATGTGGCCACCAGTCTAGGTGACTCGACACTGCAGGCACTATGTATTGAGATTAGATGGTGGTTGGAGGTAGTCAACAGGGTTTCCTGTTGACTACCTCCAACCACCATCTAATAAATTCAATTTAATATTAGTACTTTGAGTCCTCCTACCAAACCACTGCAAAGCTGTCGATGTTTTCCCTTTTTTGAAGAAGGGCACATGTTTATGACAAATGGAAACAAATGATAGGAAAACTGACGGACATAACAAAAATTCTTAAAACAAATAACTGCTTAAAACGTTTTGTCCAAAAAATAGTAAACAGTATTAAACATTACCAGTAAGGTACTCTGAAATCATTTACTACAGTGGTCGTCAATCCACTAACGATACACATCTGAAGAAATCAGAAGAGCACCCAACAAATTCAACACTATGGTATACTTTAGGGAATCAGACACACTGCAAAGCAACCTAGTTCCTATAAAAGATGTGGTTTCGAAGGATTCCCAGTTATTGTATCTGCAAAATGTCCAGACTGACGTAATATGCATCGGACAAATGTCTCTGAAAACCAAGGTCAGAAATTATCATCGTAGATCTGTTCAACTATTGGGAAGTCGAATGAAACTTGAACAGCTTTTGATTATAGGTCTACGCGTCACAACATCGGGCCACAGAATTGACGTCAGTAGTAATTTAATCATCGAGACAAAAGATAATCTGATTCAACACCCCTCCCTTAAACTAACATTGTGAATACAAATGTCATAAGAAGGCATTTTTTACATTAACACGTTCTGGTTTTAGAATTTATACACTTATCAAGTAATCTATACGTGTTTGTTCTCAATTATTCATTCATTCGACAACGCAGGATTATTTCATACAGAAGGACTTTGTTCGAGTTGTGATTTACAAATTGGTAATCTTGTAAATTCTGGTTTACTGTAACTTAGGTAAAAACCATCAGACTTAATTAGTAAACGTAAATTTTGTTTCTTTCTCACTCATTGGAAAGTTCTAATTCATAATAGAAGTATTTGTATAAAATTTTAGAAAGGTAACCTAGAACAGTTGCTTTCTTAGATAATGGATAAATAATACGACAGCTTGTATTGGACTATTTATATTAGACAGTATAAATGTTCGATTCATTTTAAACCATAAAGAATATGTGCAGAAAAGGTATGGTGGGGTATTTATGGTAAGTATATAAGTATCAACAAGCATATTTTACAGTTTTCTTCTATTCTGACACTTTTCAACGTATAAAGGCTCGTTTGTAAAGTTGAATTTTCTCTCTCTTACGGTTGTTCAATCTATCTAATTACATTAGATCCCCCTCTCAAATATTAAGTTTTCCTCAGGCATACTCGATCCTGATGATAAATTTCTGTATCTGTTTTTACAGATCTCTGTAATCGATTTTACGCAAGAGATTTATTCTGTTTTTTTTTTGAAAAAAAATAAACAGAGAATGAAAGCTACTTTATGGAACATAAGTAGGCTTAGTTTCTGATCCGTAATTAATAACATTTAGTTCATATGACCTCTGTACTTCCTTAATCGTAGGTTTTCGTCTAATCCCTAAACTATTGTCGTATCTTCTATTCCATAATTATTGCAACTTAAGTATGAGCTTTGTATCCCAATTTACAGCGCTAAATGTCCTATTTCAGTTTCCCATATATTATGTGTTGTGGTCCAAACCATTTAATTTCTATTTTGACTTGACTTTGGGATTCGGATATAGAGTTTCCTGCTACAGTCTTTTTGTCTTCCTATTGGCTCTTTGGATAATATGCGGCTGACCAACTGATTAGTATCCGCGTAGCCAGTCTTTATTCAATGTATAGGATTGTTCTAGGCCGATGCTTACACGATTTATTTTATTATTTAATAGCAAATTTTCGCTATATCCTCTTCAGATTATTCTCTTAGAAACACGTCACAAAAAATTAAATAAAGTTATGGACTACGACAAACAATCAATATTTGATCAATGAACTCTCAGATTACATCCTGTGATAAAAGATAATTATTAATATAGTCATTTTTTCGTGGGATTTGTCTATACAACTTATTCTGAGTTTTTTACGTTTAACTCATAGTCAGGATGCATTTATTTTCATAATTTCATATTCTATAGTGTTATCGTTACAGACCATTTCAAAATTTTTTCTTGAGTTATCAATTTTTAGTCACCATTTCGTGATCACAGCATATTGGAAGTATTGGGGTAATGTATAAAATAGCCTTAACCACAGAGTAACAGAATTGTTCAAGTAACAGAGAACTACTATGCTAGTTGAGTAATGGTGAAACAAACTTATACACGATCTCAATTTGGTTGCAATAAAATTGTCTTTTTCAACTAGTACTTTGAAAAATCGGTCACTTGTTCAATTCCACTTAACCAGCAATCGGTCTATATTTACTCTACATATGGCGTTTTTTACGTAGTTCCATTTCTTCTTTCATGCTTTTCGCTGTTCTTGTTTGCAGTTTTTTTTAAAATGGTGTAATTTAGTGACCGATTTAAAGTTTTCGACAAATTCATTTATCCGGTAATCCAATGGTACGCTTCAACATCAGCATCAAAATTTATCTCTAAATGTATACTACTCAATTACAATAAAGTAGATTGTATTTTTTGTTTCAAAATCTTGAAAGTAAGACAATTTCAGCTTCCATTTACTTTACATGAAAAATTAACTGGTTGATTAAATTAAGTAATTCTAGTAGATGTGTTTATAGTTTAATAAAATAATGATCATAAATATTATTGTTAAGCTAAAGCACTAAGCTAATGTAGATTTCACAAGTTTATAACACATTAAATAATTGATTGAATCACATTTTGCATAGTTGATTTTCACTTGACCTATTCTATGATCAAATGACCATGTAAGACCAAATTTTGTTGATGAATTTGTTGTCCATCCATCACATCCAAAAGTAATACCACCTCCAAGCCAGAAGTTTCTGTTTTTTAAATGAAAACAAGGAGAATGTTTTATTTATTTGGAGTTTAATACGTTATCATATTAATGAATATTTGAAATCATTTCAATGAAGTTTATTTATTGATAGTTGAGATCATGAGTCAATTGAAGCTAGATCACCATGGAAAACCTGAAAGCACTGAATGACCATTTCTCCCTATTATGGGGCCTCTTAGCAGTGCGCATCCACGATCTCGCCTCGCGAGAATCAAACCCAGTACCTATCGATCTCGCGCGGGAACGCTTGATCTCTAGACCACTGAGCCGGCCGGCATCCAACGGTGTTAATGTCTAACTTCAACTAATGCAAGAAATCGGGCGATACATCCACCATTGTATTCAGTGAGTTACTATCTCACAACAGACCCGGTTGAACTCCACTGGTCATTGCTTCTCACTAGAACAAACACTGATTGTTTTTAAAGGTATATTTTACTTAGTTATTCTTTGTTCAGACACAATACTGATGAATGAATCAAGCTAATCATGTAATGTGCTCCATAGTAACCTAATAATAAATAGATAAAATGATCTAAATTAACTTTTAAAGCATGTAAATATTGTTAAATGAGATATTTGTTATTCTACACAAGCCATTTTTATTAACTTTAACTTTGATGATATTTGAATACTATGGTTTTGTCTTCTAGATGGTTATATTTTTTGATAATAATCCCTGTCAAATACTTGTAACTATTTGAAATTGGCTATAAATTAGAATGTGTCAGAGGTAATTTATCGGTGCTTGAGAATGAATTATTGTAATTTAGAAGACTAATTCATGCTACATTAGCTTAATAGTGCATATTTTCCTTGGGGAAATTATCATTAGTTAATGGATGTAGTTTTACTCCACTAAACACCCATTTCAACCAATTTACTTAGATAATTTATTAAATGTGCTAATGAAATGGGTTGAAGAACCTAACCAATAAGTTTTCTGCCCATACAGATGCTATTAAATAATAGTGTCATATAAAAAGTGAACGACTTTTCTTTTCTATCAACGGATAAAACACATCAGAAATCGATACTAAGTGGGTTGGAATTAGTTGACAGGAAATCTCACATCTAGACTTCATGTTAGATAGTAATCGTCAGGAACATGTACCTAAAGTACTGAAGGGATTGATGCTCCACATAGGACTTAAACTAATGTGACCCAGCTCCACGGTCTGGGAAGCTATCATTGAGAGACTGGATCCGTGAGTGACCCCCAGTAGGACTGAGATTTTTACATTGATTAATCATTGAGGTATGATTAGTGTCATATTTTTCTGGTCTTTTAATGTTGATCGAATTTTATTAATCAACTTGTAAGGTAGCCACTAGTCTAAGTGATATGATATCGCGTAGCCTATTATTTAATGTCAGAGTATTAGACTTGATAAATATGACATTGTTCGCTACTCAGTGATCAATGTGATTATCAGGTATTAGTTAACTTACACTAAAAATTATCAGTAATTTTTTGATAATCTTTTCACTTTTTTCATTCTTTGAATTTAGTATATTTACATTGTAGTCAGTCAGCTACAGCGTAGGAGCAGGCACATATATACATCGGTTCAAGTTGTCACACCTCACTAGCACAACAAGATGGACACTAAATTCATGGAAGCAGTTACTTCAATGATAGTAATGCATAAAAGAAGGATTGTGTATAAGGATATAACACAGGAAGAAAGAATTAAAAAAAAAGGTATAAAGTAATTTTAATCTCACGATTTAAGGGAAGGCAAATGGAGTATACACCTACGCGATTATGATCGATTCTGGGCCACATCACTCAGAGTCTCCAAACATTGGTTACGATGGTCACGCGGACCGCAACTAAGTAGTCTGCATCTACCAATATGGCTTAGATTAGAAGTTAGTGACCTCAATGACTGATATCACGTTTTGGTTTGGTTGCCCCTAACTTTCTTCCAGCTGTCTCCTACACTAGTCAGCATTGCGCGTCGTGGTAAACGGTGTTCAAGCATACGTAACACGTGGTCTAACCATCTTGATCGATGAAGATTTACAACCTAATCAACTGATTTACCGCCATCATTCCCTAATACCCTGGGTCTAACCTCATTATTATTTACCCGGTGATCCCAGGAGATGTGTGCTATATTGTCCGCTAAATAATCTGTCATAATATATTTAGGAATTCGAAACAACTTGTATAACTTATGGAGATGTGAAATGTATGTTTTTTCGGCTTACTGTTAATCATTTTCAAAGTCTAATGTAATAGGAATTCATTCAAAGGGAAGACTTGGATTTTTGATATTTCTGAAGTTATGCATCTTATGTATATATATCCAGTCATTACAAATAGTGTAAATAATGTATATGAAGCGTAACAAGGTATTATTATGAGATTTACTTACTTAGAATGAAGTTGTAAATCAGGCATACCATATAAATCGTACAGTGGTACATTTATATTCGAACGAATACCATATAGGAAATCTCTCCATTTCGAAAATACAGTTTGACTCTGTAATGATTTATTTATATATAAGTAGTAGTAAACAAAATGTCAGCATTTTTCACAGCACAAAACAATTAAATTTTATAAACTAGATAAAACAGATGAAAATTTTATTCACTGTTCCAAAAACTGGACAATTAACCAAGTAGACACACTCAACAAATATCATACTTGACTGAAATAGTGGGAATACAAATGGATTTTACAATAGAATTATGCAAATGAATGTTATATAACAGTGAATTAATAAAAATGGATGTTGGCTATCGTACTTAATGAATAGCACACAAATAATACAATGAATTAAGATGAATGTTGTACAGGATAACTCGGGAGACACTGAATAGCTGCTTTTTCTTATTATAGGACCTGAAATTTGTATTCCTAAAACATAACATCAAATTGTATGGAGGACCTTGATATTCCCGCAATGAGCATGATAAAGTGAGTTGAAATTCAATAGTTCCACATTTCTTGTTTGAGTCGATTCGTAACGGTATAACTATGAAGGTGAACACTATCATATTACAATGCTGATATGATGGGAAGAAAAGTCAAAATTAGATGGATTTACTCATTATGAGTTTTGTTCAACATTACTTTCGTTTTGATTCAATGGGATGATTATTCAGTATAGTATTCGGTTTTGTTTCCGCGTATGATGTTTTCTACTAGAATCATCGTCGCCGTCATGTTTTGGGGGTTAATAAATCTTCACTTATACCAGTCTTTGTATTCTTACTTTTATATCGTGGGAATTTCAAATGTCCCTCATTCGATTATAAGTGATAAGCGTTAACGACACAACAGTTAGCGACGATAAGATATAACAAGTAGCGTTCAATCAACAAAACATATCAAATACTAACTAGTTAATCATTAAAAATCTGACAATGTTAATCAATTTCTTCATTTTTTATTGGTAAGAGCTCATCAAGTTAAAACGGTCTCTAAATCTCTACATTTGTGAAGAGAAAGGTGATTAATTTCACTATTTTTCATTTAGAAACGAAGTGACCGCTTTGTAATTTGTAATGAAAGATACCTAATAATTTGACTGTGATTTCTAGTGTAATAACCCTTTCAGAGAATAATGAAATCGTTAATAGTCCTTCATAATTACACAAAAATATATCGACCGATCAACCTTACTGAAAAACTTCCGAGAGAATCCTAGAAAACAATTAATTATGCCCTCATTTTCCTGATTGGACAGCTATCGATATTGTTACCAAATTAAGTGTTAACAAAAGCTTCTAGAATATCAAGGTCACATTTAATCCTGAAAATAACTCTCGGACTTTGTACATGCGGTAACCTTTGAAGTAAAGTTTCTTCTATACTTTCAGCACTTTGTTTTCTGCGTAGGGGTCAAAGGTCAGTCAGTCAGTCAGTCAGTCAGTCAGTCAGTCAGTCAGTCAGTCAGTCAGTCAGTCAGTCAGTCAGTCAGTCAGTCAGTCAGTCAGTCAGTCAGTCAGTCAGTCAGTAACAACGTAGAACTTCGTACGTACGTACATCAGTTCGAGTTGCCACACCACATTAGCACAGAGATGCAGTTGTCCATTCAAATCCCATAGTGGTAGAGGTAGCAAGAGTATAAGCAGTAATCGGGAAGATTAGGGTTTGGAGATGTTATTTATAGAGTATAATCCAGTGAAATAAATTTGGAAAGAGGAAAAAAGGGACATGAAGAATTCAGAAGATTAGAATTTGAGAGAACACAGAGAGTGGATGCACCTGCGCCATTGCAAACGATTTTGAGCCATGTCATTCAGGGTCTCTAACCATCGGTTGCTGTCATCTCGCGGTCCCCAACCAGGTAGTCTACACCTACCAACATGACTCAGTTCACTTGTCAGTGACTTCATGGACTTGTGCCATGTTTTGGTTTGGCCGCCCCTAGCTTTCTTCCAACCTACTCCTATACCACTGAACATAGCACGTCGAGGCAGTCGGTCGTTGGGCATACGTAACACGTGTCCCAGCCATCTCAACTGATGAAGTTTCACTACTTCATCAATTGATTTGCCATCCTTACCTAGTACCCGTTTCCTAACAACTGCACTACTTACTCGATGGTCCCATGATATACGAGCAATGTTTCGGAGACACCTATGATCAAATACTTGTAACCTACGGATATCCTCTACTCTTACCGGCCATGTTTCACTGCCATAAAGTAGGACGGAACGAACTGCTGCGCAGTAAACACGTCCTTTGGTTGATAGACGGATATCTCGCCTACGCCATAAATGACGCAAGTTGGCAAAAGCTAGTCGAACCCTCTGTATCCGTGCTGAGATTTCGTCACACACCAAACCACAAGGGCTGATGAGACTTCCAAGATAAGTGAAGCGGTCGACACACTCAACTACTTCACTCCCTATCACTAGTTCGGGTGTCGATGTAACCCAATCCTGAAGCAACATTTTGCATTTCGAGGGAGAGAATCGCATCCCGAACATGCTTGCATTGTTGCTTAGAGTGGTCAGAAGACTCTGCATTTTGTCAGCGTCTTCACCAAATAAAACTATGTCATCTGCATATTCTAAGTCAACAAGTGAACCTCCTGGTAGAAGTTCAACCCCTGTAAATTTAGATGAGGAGAGTGTTATCTCTAAAAGTACGTCAATGACAAAGTTGAACAAGAATGGGGAGAGTGGACAGCCCTGACGAACACCACTTGAGGTGATCAATTCTGATGACAGTTCTCCATAAGCTCTCACTCTACCAGTTGTGTTCGAGTAGAGAGCCTTTATAAGGTTAATGTACTTCTTTGGTACTCCTTTCAGTGACAAACACTGCCATAGAACCTCACGATCAACGGAGTCGAATGCCGCCTTAAGGTCGAGAAATACTACCATTGTGGGGCGTCTGAATGTGTGTCTCTGTTCTAGAACCTGACGTAGTGTGAATATCTGATCTATGCAACCACGTCCAGGTTGAAAACCAGCCTGGTTTTCTCTAGTCTGCTCTTCACGAGCTTTAGTTAGGCGTCGAAGTATTATTGAGGCCAATATTTTAGACACTATATTAGTCAAACTGATTCCTCTGTGATTGTCACAAAAGGACTTTTGTCCTTTCTTATAGACTGACACAATCAGTGATTGAGACCAGTCAGATGGGATTACGTCCAGTTCCCAAATTCTACCTAAGACCTCAGTTAATCTTGCTGCTAATACTGGACCACCATCCTTAGAAATCTCAGGAGTAAACCTGTCAGGGCCTGCTGCTCTCCCTCGTTTCAGATTTCCTATGGCTTTTTCAACTTCGTAAAGGGACGGAGGACTTACATTAACTTGCCATTCAGGTTGACTGGAGATCGTTAGAAACCGAAATGTGGCTGAAGGCCAGTTGAACTGATCCCTAAAGTGTTCTGCCCATCGATCCAATCTCCTGGATTGAGAATGAATAATATGTCCATCTTTCTCTGAGATTGTTTCGCTAACGGTCGGGTTCCTAATTCCGGTTTCCTTAACGAGTCTAAACAATTGTCTGCTATTACCTATTGCCGCTGCCTTTTCCATCTCTCTTGCTTTCGCTACCCACCACTGTTCGCGATCATTGCGTAGACTTCTTGTCAGCTTGCGCTTAAGCTGACTCCGCTCTTCATTATGTTCAGAGCCAGGTGGAATGAGTTTTCGAGCATCTATCAGTGCGATAGATGCTGCTGAGATCCAGTGTTGCTCCCTAACTTTACGGTTCACCTTACTAGCAGATATCACTGCTGTTTCCACAGCTTTTCGGATATCGTTCCATGCTGCCTCGGGGTGGGCATCACATACATGGCTGCCTAACTGTTTTCCTAGTTGTTCCTGAAATATATTCTTAGCTTGACTATCATTAAGTAGGGCCCTAAGAGGTTTCCTTGCAGGATCTTTCCTACGTCCAGTAAGACGCAAGCAAATACGCGCTCGCACTAGAGCATGATCTGAATCTAGGCATGTGCTCCAGAATGAGCGACAGTCTTCTATCGAGCCCCTCCATCGGTGGCTGATAGCGATGTGATCTATTTGGGTCCAACGTTGGGACGAATTAGGGGGTCGCCATGTTAAAAGATGTTTTTCCTTATGCTTAAAGTTAGTATTTACAAGGAACAGGCGGTTATCTGAGCATAGCTGCAACAGACGGTCGCCATTATCTGTTCTTTGAGCCACGACACCATAGGATCCACCTAGGTGTCTTTCCTTATCGCTTAGTTTACCTACTTGAGCATTAAAGTCACCGGCCACTATTACTACATCAGAGCGCCTAGCTTTTCGGAGAAGGTCCGAAAGCTTTCTGTAAAACTCATCTTTTACATCATCTGAGCTGCAGTCAGTGGGAGAATAGGCAGAGACGACGAAGAGGCAACGACGAGTGTCCCTGTCTTTCCGGATTCTTACTGTTCCGTTCAGTCGGACAGCGCACAAACGACTGTTTACTGGGATCCACTCTAAGAGAGCTAGTTCTGCCCTAGGACTCAATGCTATACCTACGCCGGCGAGGCCACGGGAAGCAGAATCAGGGCTTCCAGATACACGAAGCGTAAATCGAGTCGGTTCTTTATTTTGGCATGGTGAGGTCAAATAAATGACGCTACTCGGATCCTGTATGCGCGTTTCGGAGACGCAGCACACATCGATGGCGCGAGATTCTAAAGTCCTAGCTAAGGAAGCCTGCTGTCCTATTTGGCACAGTGTTCGTACGTTAAAAGCTCCTACGTGTAGTTTAGGGCGTGGTTTCAGGAGACCAGGAATGGCGTTCCACGTACTCGAATCGTTTGCCCTAGCGGTGCGAGGTGATAAAGAGACGTGAGGAGGGTTAGTCGGGAGGATAAGAGAGGTATTAGGAGGTGTAGGAAGGATTTGAATGTGACCACCTTGGTCTCTTGTGCTGTTACGGGTATGAGGGCTGATGTCACTTCCCGGCTGCCCACACCGTGGAAGGGTATTTCTTGAGGAACCTGAAAAGGAAATTGGATTAGTGTTGGTCTTGACGACCTGGGAGCGTGACCGCAGAGCCCAAGGGACAACTGCTTGAGGCCGGTCGCGCACGGCCTTTTTGTGGAAGGTTTTTGACGTGTTAGCTCCGTTCTTCAAGGGGCCTTACCGCCGGAGAAGGAAATCCGTGAGGTAAGGTGAGGTGTGCATTTTTAGGGTCGACCTTTTTTAACCCCACCCCTCCTTGTGGGAAGGCAGCATCGCTGCCATGCTGGTTGTCTGAAGGAAACACCTTACTGCTGTCACACCTCTCTACAGTCAGCAGTACGACTTCGCCTTCGGACCTTGGGTTTGTTGCTTTTAGTCTTACCGCTCTTCAACCGACCTGTCTGACATGGTAGGACCTTGAGGAACGGTTGTTCCAGCCAGTATAGGTCGGTTGCTTCATCACGATAGGCAAGCCCGACCACGACGTCAAGGTAGCAACAACGGTCGGGTCAAAGGTGGAAGACATCTAATGACAATAAGATGATTAGAAAGTCAGACTTATTAAAAATATAGTGTGTAAAATAATAAGTTGAAATTACTATTTGTTTAAAGTTGGTTGAAAGAAAATACTTACACCTAGATTTATAATAGGTACATGTTGATATTGCCATTTGATAAGACGTTCTATTGGAAAATTTCTGTCTACAAGAAGTACTTTAAAACCAGGTATTCCAAGATGATGAAGAGCAGTTTCATGACACTTCGTATTGGCTCCATGCCATCCTGAAAATGATCCTCCAGTCAAAGGAACAGGATGAAATGCAAATACTATCTGAAACGACAAAAAGAATCAGTAAAAATTGAAATCGCTAGTGTATTCGACGAATATGATTTAATGGTCTCAAGGAAGATAAATGAACTATAATACTTCACAACTGTCGTTCTCTGTAGGATTATTTGGAATCACTGAAGAGATCGTGTTAGAAATAGATGCATGCTGATCCAGTAGAATCTCAATGGTCAAAATATAATTATATTAGCCAAAACGTTGTATTCTCCTAATGTTCTTAGTTATTACCATGCAAGAAACGTCTGTTGAACTGTTCCTCAAGTTCAAAACGAATGTATTTTAATCAAAAATGTAAAAAAATTGTAAATGATAATGCCATATATCAGCCAAACATTTTTTAATAACTTAGAAATATTAAATCTGAAATAGATTGGATTGAATTGGATTGGATTGAATAAAATTTGATCAGCCTTGGTTAGTATATGTGCATCCATTACGACATAAGTTAGCAGAGAATAGATGGAATGTAGATAACAGTATGATCTAGGACGTGCATTTCGTTCTACTTGAGGCTTTCCTGCATTGCCTTGGGCGTCCGGGTATTACCCAAGCCCTTATGCAAATCGACTAGAGCATATATATTCGGTGCGTTTTGTACCAATATTTGTGTGTTTAAATAAAATAAATAAGACTTTAGCTGGGTTCGAGTCCCTGAGTGAATATCAACTCTGGAATGCAGGTAAATTCAGTTGACGAGTACCGAATAGAAAGAAATGGGAGTTCTTGATTCTACTGCCAGATGCTTCTTATCTACTCTTTGGAAATATTTCTTGTATTTTGAAGAGAAATATAAGACTCCTCACTGTGGAAAAATAACATTAAACTATTAATCATAGTTCTTTAATTTCAATTTAATTAACTAGGGATTTTTTTCCATGGAATTTATGATTCAAAACACGTTTTTCTTGAGATAATTCTAAATTTTCAAATCCATTAAGAAGTAAATAACAATCAACTTACTTTTTCTCTATATCTGGGGGTATAAGTTTTAGATGAAGGTTCTTTGGGAGATGAACTGTTGTAGATTTGTAAATTAGGCTAATTTAGGAATTAAGAATAAAACATATAATTGTTTATCATTGATTAGGACTACACTTCTTTATACAAAAATCATTGATGAAAGTATATAGCGAAGTCAGAAATAAAATTTTTGATATTTCTAATTTGATGAATTCTTTACCAATAATCCCTTTGTTAACACAAGCTGTATTTTTTATTCGTTGCTGTTAACTCATAAACGTCTAGATGCTATTCGGCATGACTTGAATTTTATTAGATCACTTGGTTTGGAAGTGCATGGATCTTACCTAGATTGGTGCATACTAGCTTCGGGAACCCATGAACCACTATGTTGTTAGGTATTTTAGTGTTTACGGTAGGTTTTCTAGCATCCTTTCTTACCGAACAATGTCATTATGTCAAACCCTGACGTCCGATGATCCCCTGATAGTTGGCTTATGAGTTATCAAAAACACTTCTACCTTGCGTTTGGAGTTCAACATGACTTTTAATGGAGGGGTTGTTTCCTAGTATTTGGCCCAGATACACAGTTCAGCTAGGATATTACCAATACCTCTCGTTGTCTATAGCTCGTGCGTATAGCGGCTTGGCTTACTGTGGGATAGTAAGTAAATTTATATATTTACACTTTAATCCAAGTGGGTTGCGGTTATTCCCGAGGTATTGACATCCGTGGCCACACATCTGACAGATTAAAACGACGGGGACTGGATGCTCATAGTGAGCTCGTAATATCGGAAGGATAGCTTAGTGTTAAAAAGAAAGTGGACCCTTCTTGCATAGAAGTTGCATATGAATATAGGGTCTATTGTTGTTATTAGTCAGCTGCATACGATACAATCATCGCCATTTTGTCCTAATCATCAAAATGAATGCTCTTTCATTCCGAATTTTTATTGGTTGCTAATGGCACTAGAGAAATAAAGCTGGGTCGGAATGATATCGTCAGTATGCGTTTGAATCGTCCCGTAGGGGTCAGTGTTCTACCTACTTTCAAGAGATGTGTCTTCCAACCTTGTTTTAGGGTTCCTAAGAATCTTTTCTTTAGAGATTGGGATGCTTGACTTATCACTGAACCTTGTGTCAGGATCTTTATAGTTCACCCTTGTTTTTAAGGAGTAGGAACTAGCAGAAACACTGATGACGTGCATTGCACTCGATGATTGAAAAGTAAAGATAATAAAAGTTAGTATTCAAAAAGGATAGGTTTTTAAATACTGCATAACTTCAATCTCTTAGAAACATTTAAACTTGCAAGTTTACCTTTACCACCCCCCATCAGTCGACTTAATGTGACCAAAGCAAGTGCTCCACACATCCTGTGTTTACAGGTGGTTGCAACGAACTCAGTCACTTAATTGAGTTGTACACTAACAGAACAATTTTGGTTTCACATCCACCAACCCTTAATGAAAAATTTTCATCATTTCCCCTTATACAACACTATCATTTATTGTTCAATGGTATTAATTGTTTTAAAAATGATATCACAGGTTATAGCGATTAATCTTTCTCCGAATTGTGGGTTATGATAGTCAAACAAGTGTAAACTTTGATTCAGCTTCGAACATGGTCACGACCACAGAAAATGTGGTCATAACTATGTTGTTTTAAATTGACTTGATGTTGTTTTACTTATATCTTCCCATTGTTATTTAAGACTGCAATCGATCAGCCTCTTGTTGGCATATGTGCATCCTGTGCGGATTGTCTGGATATAGCTTTAAGTCATATGCTTTATAAACAAAGATGAATAGTTTGAGTCACGGAGTGAACATCAACTCTGGGATGCAGGTATATCCAGCTGACGAGTCCGAAATAGGACGAAACGCGCGTCCTGGATCCCCCTACTAGCCACTATTGATCTTTGCTTAAAAAGCGTGTTGTTTTTTTAATCACATTTCTGTCTCTAGGAGTATTAAAGAGAATTTGAAAAAAAGGGAACTTATCACCATTTTTCGGCTTTTGACTTTTCTTTCTATAAGAATCAGAAACTGTTATCCGATCCGCTTTCTTCTATCATGATCCCTTTAAGATCGTAACTTTTAAATGAGATATTTTTTACTTATATAATTATGATTGTCTTCTTTTAAAGAAGAAAAATGATTAAAATTGTCTTAAAATAATTAAAAGTTGTAAACTTACATCATGTTGACCAAGTGTTACTTCTTGTCCGAATTTCTGTATGACATTTTGCATAAAAAAAAACAAAACAAAAATGAATAGACTTTTTAAAATTAAAATGATAAATCTAACTGAACATAAACTTGCAAGTTTAATTAAGAATTCAAGTTCTTAAGTGATTTATTCTTAGAAGGCGAGACTATAATTTATGGATGAACCAATCAAGTATAAGATAACAGGTCTCGGATTTTGAATGAAATGGCTCAAAATCGTTTGCACTGGCGCAGATGCATCCACACTTTGTGTTCTCCCAAATTCTAATCTTCTGAATTGTTCATGCCCATTTTTTTCTCTTTCCAAATTTATTTCACTGGACTATACTCCTTGAATAACATCTTCGAATCCTAATCTTCTCGATTACTGATTATACTTTTTCTACCTCTACCACTATTGGATTTGAATCGACATTTGTATCTGTGTGCTAATATGGTATGGCAACTCGAACTGATGTACGTACGTACAAAGTTCTACGTTGTTACTGACTGATTTACGGATTTTGGCACGAAATTCATTCATCCATTTGAGTAAATGGAATCTTGGCATTATAGCTGATGTCAGTTCGTGATGAAAGATTCAGTTGAAAAATAATTTTACAAATTACAAATAAACAGTCTACCTGTCCGCGTCGCATTGGATACGATTTTGGACATTGTATTACAAATGTGTCGCAGATGTTATTAAGCAGAATACTTAGAAAAATGTCTGTTTCGAAGGTTGTTCAAACCACGGTTGATGAGCATACTTGTGTTTTCCGACTACTTACACATCGTCGAAACTATAATTTATGGACGGACAAATCAAATTTACGATAACAGGTCTTGAATTCTGATTGATTTATATTTGGCTGGGTAGAGTTTTGGTATTGTAGCTGATGGTGGTTCGTGATGAAAACCCTATATACAGTTGCTAACCCTAACTATCAACTGTGAATATTGATCCAAATTCCTCACATTTGTTTATACCCCTCATTTAACCGTAGTATGTAGGTGGACATTCTCAATGTCTTTTAAGCGTCGCTCAAATGTCGTCCATAAATTATAGTTTCACCTAATCATTTCATTCGGTAACAAATATTTATTTATAATAAAGGATTTTGAGCACAAAATATGCAATATTGTAACTGAACTTCTGTGTTGTACCATTTGACTTGTGAATATTTTGAGAAACTATGTACAAAAAAGCTTATCGGCAATGATTAATTGTTATTCATATTCATCCGTGAATGTTTGCCACCAGTTTTTCTCCTTTAGAAAGTTATTTTTTGCATTGCATGGTATATTTAACATATGAAGACAACGTGATCAACCCTAGTTTCCCTTGACGATAATCAAAGAGGGAAATATATCTGTTACTACAGTCGTTCTGCTTAAATGTTGTTGATGTATGGCTACCGAACGTAAATGTGATTGATCACTAAGCATCCACAAGGATACATTCAGCTAACTGACTAATAAATGTGAGATTTCCTTTCCTATTATTGATTCCTGGTCCTGACTTTCAGAATGTAGACTGTTTGTAATTGTGTCGAACAAAGTATTGTCTAGTCTATACTCTGGTTCTCTATTTTTGGTCATAAATTGTGTATTTGATACAACTTGACCCAGTCTATGTATGACATATTGATCGAGTATCCAGTCTAATGGTAGAAAACTCCCGTTTCACCCGTTTACCCTTTCTATCAATTATATAATTTAGTTTCGTGATAGATTGCAGGCTTTCTATAGAAACTCAAGACCGAATTATGGTGAACATATGTGATTTATTAGTTAAGACTAACTGGGAAGTTAAAAAGTATGTTATATCTTCTTTTTAAAAAAATGGCTGTCCAGTTGTCCTAGTTCGCTGTCGATACCACTATTTTCATTAAAAAAAAGAATGTTTATATATGTCCCCTTAAAAAGAGTCTGTTTTCAATAACAACTAAACCCTAATCAGCTCAACTTCATTAAGAAACTATGGTGTTTATAACGAAATCACATTCAAGATCAGATTCAAATGACTGTCTGAACGCATAGTCCTATCACAATTATGACTCGTTCTGTTTACTTCACGAAATGTTTTAAATTATTTGGAGAAATGAAACACTACTTGAACAACATAACTGATTGATGTGAAGAATACTTTCCAAACTTGATTCTTAAATAAACTTACAACGTGTATTCTTTTCCATGTATTATGAATATTTTCAATTTTCATAAATAAACCCAATGAACTAAGTTGATCCAATTGAAATTTTTTATTTAAATCCCATTTAGATGATTGATTATCATTTGCAAATGATAATACTTCATAATTGAAGAATTCAGTAACAACTAATGCACCAACTGGTAGAATTGAACCAATAGTTTTGAATTCATTAGGATTATGAAGTATTTTAACCTTTTTGATTAGGGAACATAAAAAGAAGTTTTGATAAGTATCAATATCAAGATTGAACTTGATAGTATCAAGTAAATTGAGCATTGTGTAGAAAGATAATAGTTAAATTCATCAGTCAATTAAGGCTAGACCACCATGGAGAACCTGGAAGCACTGGACGGGCGTTTCATCCTAGTATGAAAATCCTCAGCAGTGGGCATCCACGATTTGATTCCAGGACCATGGGTGGTATCGTTGATAAACACTGCTGAGGAGTCCCACAATGGGACGAAACGGTTGTCCAGTGCTTCCAGGTTCTCCATGGTGGTCTAGCCTCAATTGACTGATGAATTCAGCCATAAAAAATTACTAAAATCTCCGCAAAAACACCCCTTCTGATAAGAAAGTTAATGATAAATATATTTTTTGTTACACCTCACTGAGTAGAAAAATTGTATTTCAGACGTTTTGTAACCTAATACAAGCTGCTTCTTCAGAGTAAATAAATAACCGAATTAAACTAACATAAGTTGTACAAATGAAAGAATGTACTGTTTAAACTTGTGTTAATTAAATTCGATTATTTATTTACTCTGAGGAGAAAGCTTACGGTAGGTCACGAAACGTTAGAAATACAATTTTTTATTAGAGTTTTGATAAATAAAAGTAATTCAATGTCAAGAAATCTTAACATAATTGACAAAATACCCGAACATATCGGGCATAATGTTGATTACATAAAAATTTAAAAATAATTTACGTATCTCTAGACATTTGAGGCGTAAATCATCAGTTTCTGTTGGTACATGAATTATTTCAACTGATGACTTAATTTAGCCTATGTTTATGGATTGGTTACTTTCGAGTAGTAACTACTAGTAATTGTACTATCCTTACGGCAGGAGATATTCTTAATACCATCTGTATAAATTAATGTCATGGGTTTATTTAAGTTAGATGGTACTGTAGTGAACGAGAACATCAGTGGGGGCAAACGAATGTATTTCAACAGAATTACAGAACATAGTAAAATCTGAGAACCATACAGTAGATACTTAATTTGTAAAACATCAATCAGTTGTCTCAAACTTGACTGCTTCTTCTACAAATATCAGTCAATCGTCTCACACTTCACTGTTCCTGCATTTCTATGCCAGTTGCTTTCCGTTTCCGTTCTTTCCTTCTTGATCTTCTCAATCTTCCGCTGCCAGACATTATATTCCTGACTCGCGTTATATACTACTTATGTCGATATAAGTAGCACACACTACAATAGCTCTAATGATATTTTTTATTGGGTTTATTGATTGATGATAGGATGGTTTTAATTAGGATTTAAGTATGTGTAAATAGTGAATGTACGAGTTTCAATCTGTACACAACCTACGGCGTAGATTTCATTGATTAGCATTATCTGTAACATAATAATGGTAACAATAGTACTTGCTTTATTCAATATCATGTATTTAATTACAGTAATGAATTCTCATAATGGAATATGTAATACCTTTAATAAAATTCCGGTTTTATAAACATTTGACTTTTAAATTGTTACAAAATATACATCAAATGTCTTTAGACAGTGACATTCATATCTATCCACAAATTTTTACGGAGCGGTCTTAGTTCTCTGGCACCATTTTTCATCATTTAATATATTTGATATATAAATTCTATAATAATTCTGTGTGATTTCGTCAAAGATCAGATAGGGTGAAGATTAGACAAACCACAGTGGTGGTTCTTTTCAAGTTTTTCAATGATTAGATTCTTGACAGTTGGACGATATAGTGAATGAAGATAAATTTAAAACAAGGGAATTTCTATTCATAAATTTATACTTGGAAAAATGAGGTTAAAGCCAATTGTTGATTTCTATAACTTACACCTAAAATTTTTTGTTTTTCTAAATTTGCGAAATTTGATCCAGTGAATAAGATACTTGAATCATGTGTTGATTGATTCAAAGGATGCTTTACATGTTTTTTATTTTCTTGTAAAGGATGAATTCGAGAAGTTAAATGGTCATAATCTTGTTGTTGTCCCCGTTTGCGTCGATGAAAATTTCCATTATTCTGTGAAGATATTCTTCTCTGAATGAATTTTCTCTGAATCACTTCACCTTTATCTCCTTTTTGACCTTTGGGAAAATAATTTGATGACTAAACACAGAAATGAGAAGTAGATAATGCATCATCTAAATTGTCTATTTATTATCTAAATCTTATTAATTTAAAGAAAAAAAACCAAACAGCTTTCTACCATAAAGTTAGTTTTCTTCATTAGGAACCCTTCAAAAGCATTCATCCATATTCATACATCTTAGCATATGTGTTATCTTTAAACGTCTTCGTATCCATCCATTGCATCATATTTCTAACTTCAGTCAATCAACAATATTGTTCTCGACTAGTATTCATTGTTACTAATGTTAAATGAATTAAATGGAAGATGCTGTACGCTATTATGTACTGATCTAGTGAGCAAATATTTGTGGTGTTTATCGGTAAACATTAAGTCCTAAGCTTAATATCTGACCAGGTAGCAAGTGTATAATGCTTAATAGTCTTATAATAAAAGAAAATAGCTATTAAAATACGTCTTATGTTTTAGTAATTGTCTAGCAAAAGTCAAGCTGTGCTCTAAACTATCTTTAAATAATAAGCTATTAAGACTAACATCTTGTTTAGTTTTTCCATTTAAATAGTGGATTTACTGTCAGTCAGAAAACATAAAAATCACTAGCTTCATGATTACCATTCAATCATTTATCTCATTTCAATAATGAAACAAATGAACAATTATATTTTAATGGTTGATATGATGAGTCAATTGAAGCTAGACCACCATGGAAAACCTAGAAGCACTGGACGGCCGTTTTGTCCTATTGTGGGACTCCTCAGAAGTGAACATCCATGATCTCGTCTCGCAAGATTAGAACCCTGGAGCGAAAATCTTTGTCGATGTTGACTATTATATTCAATTAAATACACGAAGTTCAGCAAAAGGATCTCTTTTTAACGAGCTTATTATCAAGCTGTACAATCGTATGAACAAGGAATAAATATGACGATACGGTTATACAGCTTGATAATGAATTCGTTGAAAAGAGATCCTTTTGCTGAACTTCTTATATTTAATGTATTACAAGTTATTTGACATTTTAAATATTTTATATAAACTTGTCAAATATTTAATTAATAATAATTTAAACTTACTGTAATGTTTATAGTGTATTTAATTAGTTGTAAGGCTTTTGAAAATGATAATATTAGAGTATCTCCCATATCACCTTTCAGACCCTGAAATTAACGATAAATTGTCAATCTTATTAAGTAAATAAATGTCAATCCAAGTTAGAGCTACACATGTGAACGAACAATATCGCTTTCTATCAAATATTTATCAAGTTTTTGTTATATCCTAGTGAAGATTAATTTACGAGTAACTTCTGAGACCTATTAATGGACTAATATTATCTATATATTCTTATGGTATAAATATTCACTAACTAGATTATCTATATCTATATTCCTCTTATAATAAGCTTCATTTTGACCTATACATTATTATTATACGATTTACTGTTCTTATATTATGTTCAGTTCATTGATCACAGTCTCCCACGTTCACAGCCACTTTTTGACTTGATCTTGTATAAATGCTGTTTCCTATTTCATGATGAGATGAGGTCTTTTTGGCTGATATATAAACGACGTATGTTTGGAATAAATGATTTGCATAGTTGAAGCTGTTATTGGTGTTCTAGACTCAACTGGATGAGTTGGGCTGGGCGAACAAAAGATTAATAAGGACGTTAGGCTGCTCATATCGGTTGAACGTGTTTAGTTTAGCACAGTTCTAAGACTGAATAAGTCGTATTTCGATTGGTGTATAAATCAAGTGATCATTAGCTGTGCTTAAAGTCACAACAGTTTTATTCTAATGTGCTGCAGTATCTATATGCATTAACGAAAAATATTCAATCAACTAGGTTAACATGTCAGTTAATGATAATAATTTCAACACAACAGGTAGATTAAAACTTTGAACGATAAACTTATGCAGCCAACAACGAAACAGAAGTGTTACGGAATTGTTTTTTGAACACAGAGACTAAAGCTATAAGCTCGGATCCTCATAACTTTAATCATATCTCAGAGATGAGATCGAGTCCCATTAGTAAAGCTTGGTAACATACCATAAACTACTCTAGATGCTTTACTCTAATTTATTGCATGGCCACTATCAACCAAATATTATAGAATGGAACTGAATTTGGATTTAGTCTGACGCTTTTCTGAACACCGACGGAGAGGTTCATTAACTCGTTGACTAAATTGTCGTACTACTGACATACGCTCTATATAGCTTTCTCCAGAAGATCAGCTAAATTCATCAATACATATTGTTGTGGTAAAGTCAGTTAATGTACATTTGACATGAATTATGAAAGTCAATAATCTGTATTATCCTTTTAAAGTAGTGACAATCATATGCCGTCTGCAGTGATTAGACAATTGGTCAATAAAAATTGCAATTTATCTACTATATTTTGATTGCTACTGGTAAGTAGTAAGTTGAAAAATTCCCATATTGTGAATTAGAACAACATAGATATAAGCGAATAATAATGTTTTCGATTAGATCCTCTTCAGGCTTTATTCTAATATACAATAATATTTATATGCATATACGAAATTGGTAAACCAGTCAAAGTGGTTTATGATTCAGTGATAACAGTAGACTACATAGACAAACATAATAAGTAAAAAGTACAAATTGGTAATGTGACGACAGGCATATTAGTTGTGGTCAGAATAATAAGGGCTTGTATCCATGTTGCATATTGGGAAATAGGATCTCTATTATTCACTTATATATGTTGTTTTACATTAGTAATTTATTCACTTATTCCTATCTCTCAATTTTATGTCAGTTTGTATGGATCAACTTTCAATTATTTTGATTATGGCTTTGGATAAACATTAATTCAATAGTAATTCAGAATATAATAAAACGGTATATAGTAAAGAGGAAGAATGTTGTATTTGTAAAATCTCAGCGAAAGAATTTAAAGTAAATCCAACGTTTCGCCTGGCAATCTAGTCCATTCTTTTTCAAGGAAATATCTTTAATGTCTCACATTAACTCGGCGACCGAATATTATGAAACCATTCGATCAAATTTAGACGAAAGCTCTTGTTTAAAACAATATATAGTTTAACAGATCAAAACAAAAGAAGAGAAAACAAATCCTACATACATTTAGGTCATTTTATCAAAATCAATTTCTGTTATGTAATCAATTTAGAACAAAATATTGATTTTCATATAGACTGATAATAAATTTAATTATTCTTATTGATTTGTTCGCCAATTCAAGGTGATGTAAATCAATCAGGATATCAGTAATCATTGAAACTTGCCTTTATTCCTTTTAATCCAATAATTCCATCAATAGTTTTACATGAACTATTACACCATTCACTTGATCCAGTCTCACCTTGAACACCCTATGGTGTTAATCCAAATTTGTTTGTAAGCGAAAATAAAGAAAGATGCGAGTTTCAGATCACAGTGACTAATTATTGAGTTGTAAATTCATTCTTTTAAAATAAATGTATTTGAGTAACTATTATGGTTAATTGTTAACAGTATTTAATTTACTTATTATTTTTTAGCTGTAATTTAAGATTACTGAATTAAAGTGTAATATTGAGAAAATAAAGTCTCAATTATTTTTACGTGGTATTCGTCATAGACCGACTTCAATTGAGATATCAGTGCTGGATTGTTGTTACGTCCCGGTGTAACACTTTTCCACTGTAAGCACCCATAATCCCTTGTGGATCAGGCTTAAGACTTTGAGGTCACATGGAGATTGTCAAGCCATTAGTTTAGCAATCAGTGTAAGATATATGCGAAATCAAAATTCTGGTTAAATTAAAAGACCTGTATGATGTATATATTCGTAATATTTGTGAACTACGAATGTACACGGTACGCAAGACTTGACAACTGAAATATATCTATTTTTACAAACAGTTATTGAGGTTTATTTCCAGCAAAATATTGTCTTACGGTTGTTTGGTTTGGATAAGTAACTCAGCTTTCACTAATCTCAAATTTGTAATTTTTGCTAATAGATCATATTCATTATTCAAATGGCTTGATTGAGCAGTGTATCTTTGAACCTTGATGACTGTCAGGGAAACATGATCATACAGACAAAGGATATCATCAGTGTTTACGATCAAAACTTCATTTCAATAAAAACTTATAAGCTAATAGAAAGTGTATAATACAGTTCGAAATTTCAATTAAATTAGGCGTTTTTCATTTACGGTGTTGCAATATTTACTGATTGTACCATTTTATCAAGTAATATGTCAAGTATTACTGTGGTGTATGCTACTTATGTCGATAGACTATAAGTAGTAACACAAATCAGAAGAGGAATGTTTGTCAGCAGAAGGCTATGAAAGCCGACTTGGAGAAAACAGAAACGTAAATAAGAAAAGATTGTGACTTGGAAGAATCATACAGAATGGGAAGGACAAATGATGGGATTTTGCTAATGAGGTATTCAATGTATGGTTTTCATATTTTGCCAAGTGATTCTGTAAGTTTGTGTTAAGCAATTAATAGGTTGTCCACAGCTGTGCTCTCATTCGTAACACTACCAATCTGATGTTTGTTCTTCTTCTAAAATCTAATCATTAATCGAACTTGTATTGAGGAGATATGTAGGTTTTGATTAATTTTTGGTGTGAAAATTGGTCATCATTATTTGTTATATCTCGAATTTCGATTCTTAATATACCATGTATAACTCGAGCAACTCGAACACTAGAATCTACCAAGTCGCAAATGAGAAGATAAAAGACACGTGTTTGGAATGCTATTCCAAACTGTGTCAAATATGATACAAAACTGTCTGGTATTTATAGATTTTAGTAAAAACGAAATCATTATAGTCCTCCAATCTGCATACAGGGGGTGATTAGCACTTATGCAATAGGGAAGCCACACGTAAAGATTTTGGAATATTCTTCCAAAAGACGACTGGATGCAATATTTTCGGCTTTTTCTGAGCTTCCTCGAGTTCATCCGTAGGCCGTCCTCACATTAATAAACCAACACTTTTTTCTTTGTGTCGAATTTTATCGGTTTTATTCAATCGTAATAAATTGTTGACAGTGCAAGTATATTGTGAATTAAGCATATATATACCATATGTAGGTACCCTTTTACAGAATTTATAAAGTATATTTAGTGGTGTCAATGTAACTTTATGTGCTTAGTCAATTCAGTTAAACTTATTATAAAGTGAGTGCTTTGAGTAGGCTTCGTTTAAAGATATGATAACTATGGACTTATAAGTGCATAATTTGAATGTCAAGTTGTTGAAAACAAACTCCGACTGTAGCTCTTTTAGAGTTACTGCCGGTCCCAAGCCCGGGCAAAAGAGGAAGGTCTTCATTTAGAAGAATTATGACGCTTCATGGTGAAAGCTGAGTTCCTTCGGGAGCCACGAGGCCGATGCCCCTTCTAACAACCAGCGCAAAACTTTTTGTAGGCACATGGAACGTCCGGACAATGTAGGAGACCGATAAGATCAGTCAAATAGAAACGGAAATGAGGAGATACAACTTGGCAGTACTGGGAATCAGTGAAACCCATTAGACCCAAGCTGGACAACAAAGGCTAAATACGCGAGAGATGCTGCTATACTCCGGTCACGAAGAGGAAAATGCTCGACACACTCAGGAAGTTGCTCTAATGCTGTCCAAAGAAGCACGAAATGCACTTGTAGGATGAGAATCTCACTGATCTAGAATCATCAAAACATCATTCAAAACAAAGAAGGAGGGGATCACGATGAATATTATCCAATGTTATGCACCCACCAGTGATAGCAACGACGACATTAAAGAACAATTCTATGAGAGGCTGTAATCAATCATACGGAAGTGCCCAAGAAAGGATCTCACCATTCTGATGGGAAATCTAAACTCCAAAGTCGGAACAGACAACACCGGATCTGAAGATATCATGGGACGACGTGAGCTATGAGAGAAAACAAAAATGGGGAAAGATTTGCAAGTCTGTATGCATTCAACAAATTGGTCATAGGCGGCATAATATTTCCACACGAACGTATACACAAAGCTACATGGATCTCACCGGACCACATCACAGAGAACCAGATAGATCATATTTGCATCAATAAAAAGTTCCGAAGGACAATGGAAGATATGAGAACCAGTAGAGAAGCTGACATAGCTTCAGATCACCACCTAGTTGTGGCCAATTTAAAACTGAAGCTAAATAAGAACTGGAAAACTGGACAAACAGCACTACAAAGGTTCAATACAGCCCTCCTTTGAGATACTGACAAACTCAATGAATTCAAGATAGCTCTCAACAACAGGTTCCAAGCCTTACAAGATCTACTGAAGGAAGAGGAAACTACTATGGAGGACAACTGGAAATGTATCAAAGAAGCATTAACTTCAACGTGTCAAGAGGTTCTGGGTCTAAAGAAATACCATCATAAGGAATGGATCTCTATAGAAACACTGAACAAGATCAAAAAAAGGAAGAACAAGAAGACAGCAATTAACAACAGCCGAACACGAGCAGAGAAATTCCAAGCACAAGATGAATACATAGAAGCAAACAAGCAAGTGAAAAAAAGCATTAGAGCCGACGAGAAGAAGTACATGGAAGAACTAGCAACGACGGCGGAAAATGCTGCAAGAGAAGGAAATATGAAACAGCTTTACGATACAGCGAAGAAACTAGAAGGGAAATACAGTAAACCAGAGAGACCGGTCAAAGACAAAGAAGGCAAACCAATTACTGAAATTCAACAACAGCGGAACAGATGGGTAGAAAACTTCGAGGAACTCCTGAATAGGCCGACTTCAATGAATCCAGCGGACATCGAAGCAGCACACACAGATCTTCATGTAGATGTCAACCCACCAACGACGGAAGAAATTAGAATGGCCGTCAGACAAGTCAAGAACGGGAAAGCAGCAGGACTCGACAACATACCAGCTGAAGCACTGAAATCAGACGTCGAAGTAACCACAAGCAAGCTCTACCTTCTATTCAAAAAGATTTGGGAGGAGGAACAAATTCCGATGGACTGGAAAGTGGGACACCTCGTCAAGATTCAAAAGAAAGGAGATCTGAGCAAATGTGAAAACTACAGAGGCATTACACTACTGTCATTACCAGGGAAAGTCTTTAACAGAGTGTTGCTGAACCGGTTGAAAGATGCAGTAGACGTTCAACTTCGAGAACAACAAGCTGGATTCCGTAAGGATCGATCGTGCACAGACCAAAGTGCGACACCACGGATCATCGTTGAACAATAAATTGAGTAGAACTCAACACTGTACATCAACTTCATTGATTATGAAAAGGCATTTGACAGTGTAGATAGGAGTACGTTATGCAAACTTCGTCGACACTACGGAGTTCCTGAGAAGATTGTCAATATTATCCGGAACTCATACGACGGGCTACAGTGCAAGGTCGTGCATGGAGGACAGCTGACAGATGCATTCCAAGTAAGGACCGGAGTCAGACAAGGATGTCTACTCTCCCCCTTCCTCTTTCTTCTGGTGGTCGACTGGATTATGAAGATCTCGACATCTGAGGCAAAACGCGGAATACAATAGACAGCTCAAAACCAATTAGACGATTTGGATTTCGCAGATGAACTAGCCCTTCTATCACATACATATGAACAAATGCAGATAAAGACAGCTAGTGTAGCAGCAGTCTCTGCATCAGTAGGCCTCAGCATACACAAGGGGAAAACCAAGGTCCTCAAATTCAAAACGAAGAACAGCAATTCAATCACTCTTGATGGCGAATCTCTGGAAGATGTAGAACCCTTCACATACCTGGGAAGCATCATCGATGAACAAGTAGGTTCAGAGGCAGACGTAAATTTGAGTATTGGCAAAGCAACGGACGCATTCTTACAATTAAAGGACATATGAAACTCAGAAAAACTTTCAACCAATATCAAAGTGAGAATCTTCAATACCAACGTCAAGGCATTTCTACTGTATGGAGCTGAAACTTGGAGAACTACAACAACCACAATCAGGAAAGTACAAGTATTTATAAATAGTTGTCTTCGCAAGATACTCAACATCCATTGGCCGGATACCATCAGCAATAGCCATCTGTGGGAGAGAACAAACCAACTTCCAGCTGAAGAAGAAATTAGGAAAAGACGATGGAAATGGATAGGACATACATTACGCAAATCGTCAAACTGCATTACGAGACAAGCCCTAACTTGGAATCCTGAAGGGGAGTGGAAAGGAGGAAGACCAAAGGACACATTACGTCGGGAAGTAAAAGCAGATATGAAAAGGATGAATTACAACTGGAAGGAGCTGGAAAGGATTGCCCAGGACAGGGTTGGATGGAGAATGCTGGTGAGCGGCCTATGTTCCTTCACGAGGAGCAACAAGTGTAAGTAAGTAAGTTATTGAAAACACTTATTCACTAAAATATTCTTTGTTTTTAAATACCTTTTGGGATTTTTTCAATAGATGAGATCATGAGTCAGTTGAAGCTAGACCACCATGGAAAACCTGGAAGCACTCGACGGCTGTTTCGTCCTATTGTGGGACTCTTTATACCGTGTAATATTTGTGATAAAATGAATAGATATAGAAAAGAATGACTGGTTGTAATTAAAAATATGAATCATGAATAGATGTTATGCACTTGATCCCCTTTATGGATTTAAATAAAGCGAGAACAAACATTGATGTAGAATAATATGAATTCATTATAAATATATATATATATATAATATGTGCGTCCTGTGCGTATTGCATCCGTCTTGCCTCAAGTCAAAAGCAGGTATAGCTAGTTGACGAGTCCCAAATGAGACGAAACACGTGTTCTTGATTCCACCGCTGGTCACTATCGTCTTTGTTTAAAATGTTCTGTGTATTGTTCTTGGAAACGGTCGTGAATTATTTACATGTCGTATCTCTATTTTCGACCTTCTACATCTATCCTATTTCCTTTATATACTTAAGTGTTTGCTTTACTTACTCCCAATAGAGCATAGGTCGCCGACCAGCATTCTCCAACCCACTCTGTCCTGGGTCTTCTTTTCTAGTTCTACCCAATTGTTGTCCATTCTTCTGATGTCTGTCTCCGTTTCTCGGCGTAATATGCTCTTCAGCCTTCCTCTTCTCCTTTGGCCTTGAGGGTTTCAACCGGTGAGGGCTTGCCTAGAGATATAGTTGTGTGCTTCTCTCAATGTTTGTCCTATCCACTTCCAGCGCTTCTTCCTGATTTCTTCTTCCGCTGTGACTTGATTTGTTCTCTCCCACGGTAGGTTGTTGCTGATAGTGTCTGACCAACGGATCCGAAGTATTTTGCGTAGACGACTGTTAATAAACACTTGTATCTTCTGGGTGATGGCTTTCGTAGGTCTCCAAGTTTCCGTTCCACACAGTAGAATTGCCTTGATATTCGTATTGGAAATTCTGACCTAGGTGTTGGTTGACAGTTGTTTTGAGTTCCAGATGTTCTTCAGTTGTAGATATGCTGCACTTGCTTTGCCGATCCGCACCTTCATATCTGTATCATATCCGCCTAGTTCATCAATGATACTGCCCAGATATTTGAAGTTTTTACATCTTCCAAAGCTTCTCCGTCAAGTGTGATTCGACTGGTGCATGTTGTGTTATATCAAAGAATCTCTTTTTGAGTATGTTGAGACTTATTGTTGCTGAGGCTGCTGCTACACTGGTCATTTTCTCCTGAATGTGAGATATAGTCTGCTTCATGAGTGAATAATGCAATTCATTATCATTGTTCTACATTATTCTATAAGAAATGAAATCAGATGTTATCAATGAAATTTATAGAAAATCAATAAAACTTTCGACCTAACAATAAATTATGATTAAGATGAAAATTTTAATTTTACGGTAATCTATCAAACAGATTGAATTGTCCAAGCCTTATAATGTTAATTATTAACTAGCCAATTTATATTATTTGTTTTCTTATTTTGAAGTAAATGTGAATCTTGTATGACGTGTTATTTATTTGCATCGTTCGTAATTATTCTATTAAATTTCAAGTATTATCATTTATAATTAATAAATAACAACTTACTTTCAATGAATTCATATCAATTGATGGACATATTGTTTCTGGACAATAACCCGTAGAGCCCACTGGACCAGCTGGACCCTGAAATTACAATAAGGGAATACTTTTTTTAATAAAAAAAATAATCAACGATTATTATGACAATTCCTGTCATAAATCAATGCCACGTTGGTGCAACTTCTTGGACTGGTTGAAGTTAGACATTAACACGTTAGATGCCAGCCAGCTCAGGTTAAGAGCTCGCTCGCAAGACTGATAGGTCCTGGGTTAGAATTTAGCTGGGCGGGATCGTGGATGTACACTGCTCAGGAGTCCCATAATAGAATGAAACGGCCGTCCAGTGCTTCCAGGTTTTCCATGGGTGGTCTAGTTTTGAATAACTTATGAATTCAACTGTAAAATTGCTGAAATCTCCACAAAACCCCTTTTGAAAAAAATAATTGTGGTTTTGAGTGTTCTTTGTTAGTTTGTTCTCATCAAATGTTTTATAATTATATATAAGTATTAAAATAATGTGTTACCTGTGGTCCAATGTCTCCTTTCTGTCCCTAAATTAAGAAAAAAACAATTTGTAATAAATTCCATTCAATAAATAAAACTTACAATATGGACCATGACTTCGTCGAATGGAGACTAAAGAAAATGAAAGAAACAATAATATTGAAATATTGTTTAAAGTATGGAAAAACTACATAGTAGATTGTAATATATACTAAAGAAATCTTTCATTGTTAAATAATATAATTATTTTACTGATAGAAATCATGAGTCAATTGAAGCTAGACCACCATGGAAAACCTGGGAGCACTGGATGGCCGTTTCGTCCTAGTATGGGACTCTTCAGCAACTTCGTGAATTGGTTGAAGTTAGACATTAACACCTTTGAACCCGGCTCAGTGGTCTAGTTAGTTAAGCGCCTGGCGCGAGACTGATAGGTCCTGGGTTTGAATCTCGCGGGGTGCGGATCATGGATGCGCACTGCTGAGACGTCCAGTGCTTCCAGGTTTTCTATGGTGGTCTAGCTTCAATTGAATCATGATTTCCATCAGTGAAATTTCCAAAATCTCCACAAAACCTCGTCTGATAATGTAATTATTGTAAAAATAATGAATGTTTCTCGACAAAATGTTCAAGTATTTATGAGAGGTCTGATCGTTGCTTAAATAGGTTAAAGGTAATTTCTTTTACTAGAGGACTGGATAAGAGGGTTCAAATAACATAGCGAATATTGAGTCTTGATGTGAATGTCAACATATTTTTGCTTATAAATACCAAATGAAATGATCCATATGTCAAGCAGCTCTACTTAGTGACTATCCATAAACACTTATGATATATCAGAATAAGTTGTTCACTATTAGACAACCAGAGCAACCATTTATTTAGGTACATGGAATGTTCGTACAATGTGGGACACCGGGAGAGCCTTCCAAATTGCTGCAGAAATGAGGAGATACAACCTAGAGGTGCTTGGGATCAGTGAAACACATTGGACGCAAGTTGGACAACAACGACTAACTTCAGGACAGCTTCTGTTATACTCCGGCCATGAACAAGAAAATGCCCCACATACACAAGGAGTTGCATTGATGCTGTCCAAACAAGCACAAAATGCACTTATAGGATGGGCATCTCATGGACCAAGGATCATCAAAGCCTCCTTCAAAACAAAGAAAGAGGGCATTTCAATGAACATCATACAATGCTATGCGCCTACCAACGATTACAATGAAGACGCTAAAGATTAATCCTACAATACGCTGCAGTCAATCATCGAGAAGTGCCCAACAAAGGACCTGACCATTCTGATGGGAGATTTCAATGCCAAGGTTGGAACGGACAACCCTGGATATGAAGACATCATGGGACGACACGGACTGGGAGAAAGAAACGAAAATGGTGAGAGATTTGCAAATCTATGTGCCTTCAATAAACTGGTCATAGGCGGCACTATATTCCCACATAAACGCATACAAAAAACCACATGGACTTCACCGGATCACTCTACACAAAACCAAATCGACCATATTTGCATCAACAAGACGTTCAGGAGGACGATGGAGGACGTGAGAACCAAGAGAGGAGCTGATATAGCATCAGATCATCACTTGCTGGTCGCCAAGATGAAGTTGAAACTCAAGAAGCACTGGACAATGGGGCGGACGATATCACAAAAGTTCAATACGGCCTTTCTTCAGGATACTAACAAACTCAACAAATTCAAGATAGACCTCAGCAATAAGTTCCAGGCCTTTCATGATCTACTCAATGGAGAAGGAACTACTGTGGAGAGCAACTGGAAGGGGATCAAAGAGGCAATCACTTCAACATGTCATGAGGTCCTGGGTCACAAGAAGCACCATCACAAAGAATGGATCACTGTTAATACACTGGAGAAGATTCAAGAAAGGAGGAACAAGAAGGCAGCAATCAATACCAGCCGAACAAGAGCAGAGAAAGCCAAGGCACAAGCTGAATACACAGAAGTAAACAAACAGGTGAAGAGGAGCATCAGAACCGATCAACGTAAATATGTGGAAGATTTAGCAACGACGGCGGAAAAGGCTGCAAGAGAAGGAAACATGAGACAATTGTATGACACGACAAAGAAGCTCTCTGGAAATCGCCGCCAACCAGAACGACCAGTGAAAAGCAAGGAAGGTGAGGTAATCACCAACATTGAAGAGCAACAAAACAGGTGGGTAGAACACTTCAAAGAACTCTTGAATCGACCAGCTCCCCTGAACCCACCCAACATCGAAGCAGCACCCACAGACCTCCCAATCAATGTTGGCCCACCAACAATTGAAGAAATCAGCATGGCCATCAGACAAATCAAGAGTGGCGAAGCAGCAGGACCGGACAACATTCCAGCAGAGGCACTGAAAGCAGACGTATCGGCAACTGCAAGGATACTTCACATTCTCTTCAATAAGATTTGGGATGAGGAACAAGTGCCATAAGGCTGGAAAGAAGGACTTCTGATCAAAATACCGAAGAAGGCGATCTCAGCAACTGTGATAACTACAGAGACATCACTCTTCTCTCAATACCGGGAAAAGTCTTCAACATGGTATTGTTAAACAGAATGAAGGACTGCGTAGACGCCCAACTTCGTGACCAACAGGCAGGATTCCGTAAGGATAGATCGTGTACAGACCAAATCACAACTCTACGGATCATTGTGGAACAATCAATTGGATGGAATTCATCACTCTACATCAACTTCATTGACTACGAGAAACCATTTGATAGCGTGAATAGGACAACACTATGGAAGCTTCTTTGACACTACGGCGTGCCTCAGAAGATAGTCAATATCATACAGAACTCATATGATGGATTACACTGCAAAATTGTGCATGGAGGACAGTTGACAAAGTCGTTCAAAGTGAAGACCGGTGTTAGGCAAGGTTGCTTACTCTCACCCTTTCTCTTTCTCCTGGTGATTGACTGGATCATGAAGACGTCAACGTCTGAAGGGAAGCGCGGGATACAATGGACATCTAAGATGCAGTTGGATGATCTAGACTTCGCAGATGATCTGGCCCTTCTATCCCAAACGCAACAACAGATGCCGGAGAAGACGAAGAGTGTGGCAGCAGCAGTAAGTCTCAATATACACAAAGGGAAAAGCAGGATTCTTCGATACAACACAGAATGCACTAATCCAATCACAATTGACGGAAAAGATTTGGAAGATGTAAAAACCTTTACGTATTTGGGCAGCATCATTGATGAACAGGGTGGATCTGATGCAGATGTGAAGGGGCGGATCAATAAGGCAAGAGCAACATATTTACAACTGTAGAACATCTGGAACTCAAAACAACTGTCAACCGAAACCAAGGTCAAGATTTTTAATACAAATGTCAAGACAGTTTTACTGTATGGGGTAGAAACTTGGAGAACTTGCGAAAGCTATCATTCAGAAGATACAAATGTTCATTAACGGTTGTTTACGCAAAAGACTTCGGATCTGTTGGCCAGAAACTTTCAGTATCAACCTACTGAGACAGAGAAAAAAACAGATTATAGTGGAGGAAGAAATCAGGAAGAAGTGTTGGAAGTGGATAGGATACACACTGAGAAAAGCACCCAACTGCGTCACAAGACAAGCCCTCACATGGAATCCTCAAGGCCAAAGGAAAAGAGGAAGACCAAAGAACACATTACGCCGGGAAATGGAGATAGACATGAGAGAAATGAACAAGAATTGGATGGAACTAGAAAGGAAGGCCCAGGACAGAGTGGGTTGGAGAATGCTGGTCAGCGGCCTATGCTCCATTGAGAGTAACAGGCGTAAGTAAGTTATTAGACAAAATTATATCGATAATGTTACAGATTAAAGTTAATCTTCCTCCGAGGAATAATAATTTTGAAATCATGTCGCTTGAAGTTTATCATAGATATCACAAAATCTTGTGTTTATAAATCAAGAATTAAACAAATGTTTCAACGGAAGTGCTTTATGAAATTTGTCAGTGATTCTGATCAAAGATTCAGTTGAAAAATAATTTTACAAATTACAAATAAACAGTCTACCTGTCCACGTGGAATTCGATACGATTTTGGACATTGTATTACAAATGTGTCGCAGATGTTATTAAGCAGAATACTTAGAAAAATGTCTGTTTCGAAGGTTGTTCAAACCACGGTTGACGAGCATACTTGTGTTTTCCGACTACCCACACATCGTCGAGAGTATAATTTATGAACGGACCAATCAAATTTACGATAACAGGTCTTGAATTCTGATTGATTTATATTTGGCTAGATATAGTGTTGTTATTGTAGCTGATGCCAGTTCGTGATGAAAACTCTACATGCAGTTGCTAACCCTAACTATCAATTGTGAATATGAATCCTAATTCCTCACACTTGTTTATAATCCTCATTTAATCTTAGTATGTAGGTGGACATTCTCAAAGTGTTTTTATCGTCGCTCAAATGTCGTCCATAAATTAGTGCCTCACCCAGACATTTTTAATTCTGTATATGCAACTGTGGAACTATGTTTATCTCTTTAAAGTTATTAATTAGGAAACTTCAGTCTTTATTAGTTTGATTAGCGTTTTATACCTAATTTACCTCTGATTTTTATAAGTGCTTTAGTACAAAACTTTTTAAATTCTACACATTATTCTGGACAATGAAGACAGTTCTTCAGTGATAATCAAGCGATATCACAATTTGGCTAAAATTAAACCTGAGTGGTCTTGAATCTCAGGTCAGTTGTTCAAAGGTTTTATATTTTCTAGGTGCCTGATGATTCTGATTTCCGTTCATCATGGAGTCATGGATGTTCACTGCCTAGAAGTTTTAAACTTGAACCAATAAACTGTTTTGTGATCGTTAGTTTTAAGCGTCCATCTCAAAATTTTCAATAAGGTGTACGAGGAAACTCAAATAACTAACCGCTCATTCCATGTTTGTACAAATTTTCTCAACGACCTAATGTTACTCTTAAGTATCAATACTATCTACTGTGAATGGTGATTCTTTTGTTAAAGTACTGGATCTTGTGGTGGAAATGAATCTCGAATAATAAGAATTACTAACCGCAAAATATATATCATGGTATATTCTATTACCGTTTTAGCCTATAATGATCTTCAGAGACCTTTCAAGAAGATAAACTCTTGTCATATGCCTACGATTTGAGCGTTTACCTGGATGTCCTTATAACTGTTACTATCTATCAAGTAAACCTTTGTAAACGAAATGAGTTCCAACTTCCTCTTAAGAAGTTTCAGTATTTTTAAAATCAATTAATTTTTTCAGCAACAGCCAAAATTTCATCTCCTCACTGAACTCATTGTTTTGCACTAGATTACTTAGAATCATCCAGGAATTATCAAGGCTCGCTTGCATTCCAGATTTTCTTGTTTGATACAATCATGATATTCTAAATGAGGTCCAAATTGAATGATTTTATCTAGGACAGATGTAGAAATGCAAAGAACTTAGTAGATACTCACATTTATGGTATAATTATAATCAGCTCTTCTATTCATTCGATAGGTTCCTGAGACTTCTTCAAATGTTATATACGTTGCATTCCTATCATGAGACTGTTTTTCTACTTTATGTTTAACCAGTCCCAGGTACAAGTCATCAGATGTCTGATCCATTTCATCCGTCGGTTTATACATCTATGTGGAATTGTATAAAACAAAAAAAGTACCAGATAAAAATGATCAAGAAGTTTGTTTCATATGAAACTAAAATACGTCAGTGAAAGTGAACTCTAGTTGGCTTTTTATCAGTTCCATTAATAAACAGGTCTGTTGTGAGATATCAGCTCACTGAAGACAATGATGTACGGTGGCGCAACTTCGTGGACTGGTTGAAGTTAGACATTAACACCGTCGGATGCCGGCTCAGTGGTCTAGTGGCTAAGTGCTCGCGCGCGAAACCAGTAGGTCCTGGGTTCGAACCCCGTGGGGTGCGGGACCGTGGATGCGCACTGCTGAGGAGTCCCATACTAGGACGAAACGGCCGTCCAGTGCCTCTGGGTTTCCCATGGTGGTCTAGCTTCAATTGACTCATGATTTCAATCAGTGGAATATATTTCTTTCATTACAGATTTTAAGACAAAAGTCTGAATTAACAGTTTTCAGTATCGATGAAGTTAAGTTATGGCGAAATGTTTTGTTTACATCCAATTGATATGATAAAATTGTTATTTCCTACATTCTAGTGAATAAAAATTATTTAACTGACATTATTCCATTGTTTTCAGTAAAAATTAAAATGAATACTAACATATATTCATATAGTTATACGAAATGACAAATATCTGTGATTTGCATACATAGTAATTTATAATTAATAATTCTTTCTTAGTTAGGATGAATGAATTTATGGCATCTCGCCTACATTTATTTAATTAAACACACAAACATTGGTACAAAGAAGCACCAAATATATATGCTCCACACTTCCCCACTCGATTTGTGTGAGGGTTGTGATACTGACCGGGTGCTCAAATCGAAACACGTGGTTTTCTTAAGGGGCCACACCCGGAGCATTTGATATAAAAGTCTGGTCCAAAAGGCACTGGAACAACGTCAGGAGATGGAATCGCATGATACCCAGTGACCAATAATTGGTTCATACACCATTTGTTCCTTTAGGATACTGGAGCTACCCCATGTTCACTATTGGTTTGGAACCCAGGTTCCCCAACTGCCCTAGCTGGACCCTCCATATCCACCAATCCGGTCAAAGCGCCGGACATTCGCATTTCATCCTCTCAACTTCGTAAGCAAAAGCCTAACCTCGAGAAGGCAGTGAGTAGGACTTCGCTGACAGCGGTTGTATGCACGTGGTCATGTGAGAGCATTCCGAGGGTGGGGGGAGCTGGCTCTCCCCACTCTCGGCCGTACCAGGGCATTGGGGGCATCTTTTCTACAATTAACTTTGTTGACAGTTAATTTTGTTGTGCCCTTTGATTAAATTGTCTAACAAACAGTGTTATTCTAACAGTAACAATCTGTCTATTTCTTTGTATTATTATAATTACTATCATGTCCGTATCAAAACATGTATATTTGATTACATGTAACAGAATACGCGCATATCCCTCTATCTAGCCTAAAATTAGTTGCTCAAAAATCTCTCTGTGAATGTATATATATATATATATGCTTGGATCTAATAAATTGATTCAACTCAGTATCCTCTTGCTCACGCATATTAGCCTTTCTGCTTAAATTCTTTTGGTGTGCTTGTAAATCTGTTACCTGCGCTATCTAATAATAAACTTTACTTAGCGCTTCTTGTTGCCGTCTGAATTAATTCACCGTTGGGATTTATTTAATAAAGGTTATCAGGGTGATTGATAAATGAAGCGTAAGGAATTATCTTGAAGCCAAGCCACTACAAAAATGGTTGGCCCGACGTGCGAACGCGACGCAATTTTCGATGACACGATCTTATTTCGAAAAATTCAACTTTGTCTCCATTCGGATTATTAGTTGGATCATAATTATATTCGCGGATTACTAATATTATTATTTTCGTTACACGTACATTCTCATAAAAATTACTGAACATAATTTAACAATAATAAACATAATAATAATTATAACATTATTAATAATAATAATAATAATTATTATTATTATTATTATAAATATCGACGTTTCATAAACAGTTGATATACTGGTGCAGTTTAGTGAGTCTGATCTATGTTATAAAACCGTATCATCTGTTATTATCATTGTTGTCGGTTCATTTCTCTTTTTGAGATTTACATTATTTTATTTGAGTACCATCAACTCTTTTTATAAATATGTCTTCGGAAAACCCTAAGTATACGGCAAATGCCGTCTGTGAAGTCCCTTAACCTTTCTATTCCGTATTTTAAAGTTACCGACATAAAACTTTGGTTTTTCAGATTTGAAAATTATTTTTGTATAAATGCATTAATTTGCAACGATGCAAGTTCGGCCACACAAGCACGCTTCTTCCAGACGAAGATGAAGATAGCGTACGAGAGGTTTTATCTAGACCGGACCCCGAAAGGCCATATGACGTAATAAAGTAAGCCGTAATTAGATCCGTCTCTATAACCAACCCAAGAAGTTGTTGACCAGCCACCTGATCAGGTGAAAATGGGGGATAGGACAGCTTCGCAGACAAAAAACGCACATGAAAAATCCGATAGGTAGCAAGAAAGTAAACATCAACCTAATTTATCAACTGTAGCTTCGTCAACCTCCACTAAACGTACGATAGATCATAACTGTTGGAGATACCGATGTTGATATGAACTATGTCGCAAACATTCTTGACGGGATACGCGAGTGAACTAAGCAAACGAGTACTCAATTGTATAACACAACGGTAGACGACAATCTAATACACAAGGAGAAAACTGATATATGACACAAATTCACAGAGTTGACGCAGAATAACACGCCATGAAGAGATCAATCATTAGTAAGGGACAGTAAAGCTCCTCTGAATAACCGGTATCATCAAATTGATTAACACTGATTATGAAAGTGCACAAAATATTGCGCAAATACAAAAACAAGAAAAAATTAAACGCCATGAAAAGAAAGGTTGATAAAAGTGAGAAAATGCGAAACAATGAAGAGTAGATATATAAATAACGAAAATTAAAACCAAATAAAAATCAAAGATGAAAACATGACATACACTGAAGAAAAAAAAATATACACAGAGAAAAAATAAACAAATAGGAAAATATGAGTATATATTGCCTGCAATGGAGAACACCTCGTGACTTCCATGCCTCATCGTCCATGCGTTATCCACTAGTGTTGGTCACTACACCTCAGACAGATTGACAAACACACAACAACACGCACACAGGCACATTGTCCACTTGACACATTTCGACCACATCCAACACTCGATCGACAAGTAACGGTGGTGTGAACTGATCCGATGTGGTGTGGAATGCCTACACATACGACTAGTCACCGATCTCATCAACATTCCACAACACGTCAATCAAGGAAACAAGTGTGTGAACGAGATTACCTGTGTGTCGAGAAGATTCTCCTCACTGGCACCGACACCAACACCAACACCCATGTGACTGATGGAGTCAGAGTCTCCTGAAGTGTCTCTGGTCTCATTGTCTCCGGTCTGACGTTCACTCGTCGATGCTGGTTGTTCACTTGACACCTGAAAGTGAAAGAGATCATAGAGTGGATTAGGCTGGAGTGTGTAGTGTGCAGTATTTGGTGCTAGATTGTGACTGTGTCAGACCTATGCATTATATTGGTGTTGTCATGATTTCTGTTTTGTAGTGGTTGTGTGGATGACGTGTCAATGGTGACTTGGTCAGACCAATCCTCATCTGACATGTTATGGTCAACAATCACCCAACCACATCCCACCTCTACTCACTGGATCCACTGAAAACACATACAATGACAGTTTGTGGTGTGTTCATTGTCACGTGACAGATTTTCACAGCATCTCATATCACACATTCACACAACGTGTCAATCAGTGAGCTGATCCAAGTTGTCTGCAGTCACAATGCACCATTCAGTCAGCACACATATTTGCTGTCGACAACCTCGGTCTCAATCCCAGTCACATCTCCATCAAGTCACTCACATATACTGACTGTGGATCTCCACATGCATATGACTCGGTGAGCACACATTGCATGCATTGGAGAACACCTCGTGACTTCCATGCCTCATCGTCCATGCGTTATCCACTAGTGTTGGTCACTACACCTCAGACAGATTGACAAACACACAACAACACGCACACAGGCACATTGTCCACTTGACACATTTCGACCACATCCAACACTCGATCGACAAGTAACGGTGGTGTGAACTGATCCGATGTGGTGTGGAATGCCTACACATACGACTAGTCACCGATCTCATCAACATTCCACAACACGTCAATCAAGGAAACAAGTGTGTGAACGAGATTACCTGTGTGTCGAGAAGATTCTCCTCACTGGCACCGACACCAACACCAACACCCATGTGACTGATGGAGTCAGAGTCTCCTGAAGTGTCTCTGGTCTCATTGTCTCCGGTCTGACGTTCACTCGTCGATGCTGGTTGTTCACTCGACACCTGAAAGTGAAAGAGATCATAGAGTGGATTAGGCTGGAGTGTGTAGTGTGCAGTATTTGGTGCTAGATTGTGACTGTGTCAGACCTATGCATTATATTGGTGTTGTCATGATTTCTGTTTTGTAGTGGTTGTGTGGATGACGTGTCAATGGTGACTTGGTCAGACCAATCCTCATCTGACATGTTATGGTCAACAATCACCCAACCACATCCCACCTCTACTCACTGGATCCACTGAAAACACATACAATGACAGTTTGTGGTGTGTTCATTGTCACGTGACAGATTTTCACAGCATCTCATATCACACATTCACACAACGTGTCAATCAGTGAGCTGATCCAAGTTGTCTGCAGTCACAATGCACCATTCAGTCAGCACACATATTTGCTGTCGACAACCTCGGTCTCAATCCCAGTCACATCTCCATCAAGTCACTCACATATACTGACTGTGGATCTCCACATGCATATGACTCGGTGAGCACACATTGCATGCATTGGAGAACACCTCGTGACTTCCATGCCTCATCGTCCATGCGTTATCCACTAGTGTTGGTCACTACACCTCAGACAGATTGACAAACACACAACAACACGCACACAGGCACATTGTCCACTTGACACATTTCGACCACATCCAACACTCGATCGACAAGTAACGGTGGTGTGAACTGATCCGATGTGGTGTGGAATGCCTACACATACGACTAGTCACCGATCTCATCAACATTCCACAACACGTCAATCAAGGAAACAAGTGTGTGAACGAGATTACCTGTGTGTCGAGAAGATTCTCCTCACTGGCACCGACACCAACACCAACACCCATGTGACTGATGGAGTCAGAGTCTCCTGAAGTGTCTCTGGTCTCATTGTCTCCGGTCTGACGTTCACTCGTCGATGCTGGTTGTTCACTTGACACCTGAAAGTGAAAGAGATCATAGAGTGGATTAGGCTGGAGTGTGTAGTGTGCAGTATTTGGTGCTAGATTGTGACTGTGTCAGACCTATGCATTATATTGGTGTTGTCATGATTTCTGTTTTGTAGTGGTTGTGTGGATGACGTGTCAATGGTGACTTGGTCAGACCAATCCTCATCTGACATGTTATGGTCAACAATCACCCAACCACATCCCACCTCTACTCACTGGATCCACTGAAAACACATACAATGACAGTTTGTGGTGTGTTCATTGTCACGTGACAGATTTTCACAGCATCTCATATCACACATTCACACAACGTGTCAATCAGTGAGCTGATCCAAGTTGTCTGCAGTCACAATGCACCATTCAGTCAGCACACATATTTGCTGTCGACAACCTCGGTCTCAATCCCAGTCACATCTCCATCAAGTCACTCACATATACTGACTGTGGATCTCCACATGCATATGACTCGGTGAGCACACATTGCATGCATTGGAGAACACCTCGTGACTTCCATGCCTCATCGTCCATGCGTTATCCACTAGTGTTGGTCACTACACCTCAGACAGATTGACAAACACACAACAACACGCACACAGGCACATTGTCCACTTGACACATTTCGACCACATCCAACACTCGATCGACAAGTAACGGTGGTGTGAACTGATCCGATGTGGTGTGGAATGCCTACACATACGACTAGTCACCGATCTCATCAACATTCCACAACACGTCAATCAAGGAAACAAGTGTGTGAACGAGATTACCTGTGTGTCGAGAAGATTCTCCTCACTGGCACCGACACCAACACCAACACCCATGTGACTGATGGAGTCAGAGTCTCCTGAAGTGTCTCTGGTCTCATTGTCTCCGGTCTGACGTTCACTCGTCGATGCTGGTTGTTCACTTGACACCTGAAAGTGAAAGAGATCATAGAGTGGATTAGGCTGGAGTGTGTAGTGTGCAGTATTTGGTGCTAGATTGTGACTGTGTCAGACCTATGCATTATATTGGTGTTGTCATGATTTCTGTTTTGTAGTGGTTGTGTGGATGACGTGTCAATGGTGACTTGGTCAGACCAATCCTCATCTGACATGTTATGGTCAACAATCACCCAACCACATCCCACCTCTACTCACTGGATCCACTGAAAACACATACAATGACAGTTTGTGGTGTGTTCATTGTCACGTGACAGATTTTCACAGCATCTCATATCACACATTCACACAACGTGTCAATCAGTGAGCTGATCCAAGTTGTCTGCAGTCACAATGCACCATTCAGTCAGCACACATATTTGCTGTCGACAACCTCGGTCTCAATCCCAGTCACATCTCCATCAAGTCACTCACATATACTGACTGTGGATCTCCACATGCATATGACTCGGTGAGCACACATTGCATGCATTGGAGAACACCTCGTGACTTCCATGCCTCATCGTCCATGCGTTATCCACTAGTGTTGGTCACTACACCTCAGACAGATTGACAAACACACAACAACACGCACACAGGCACATTGTCCACTTGACACATTTCGACCACATCCAACACTCGATCGACAAGTAACGGTGGTGTGAACTGATCCGATGTGGTGTGGAATGCCTACACATACGACTAGTCACCGATCTCATCAACATTCCACAACACGTCAATCAAGGAAACAAGTGTGTGAACGAGATTACCTGTGTGTCGAGAAGATTCTCCTCACTGGCACCGACACCAACACCAACACCCATGTGACTGATGGAGTCAGAGTCTCCTGAAGTGTCTCTGGTCTCATTGTCTCCGGTCTGACGTTCACTCGTCGATGCTGGTTGTTCACTTGACACCTGAAAGTGAAAGAGATCATAGAGTGGATTAGGCTGGAGTGTGTAGTGTGCAGTATTTGGTGCTAGATTGTGACTGTGTCAGACCTATGCATTATATTGGTGTTGTCATGATTTCTGTTTTGTAGTGGTTGTGTGGATGACGTGTCAATGGTGACTTGGTCAGACCAATCCTCATCTGACATGTTATGGTCAACAATCACCCAACCACATCCCACCTCTACTCACTGGATCCACTGAAAACACATACAATGACAGTTTGTGTGTGTTCATTGTCACGTGACAGATTTTCACAGCATCTCATATCACATTCACACAACGTGTCAATCAGTGGCTGATCCAGTTGTCTGCAGTCACAATGCACCATTCAGTCAGCACACATATTTGCTGTCGACAACCTCGGTCTCAATCCCAGTCACATCTCCATCAAGTCACTCACATATACTGACTGTGGATCTCCACTGCATATGACTCGGTGAGCACACATTGCATGCATTGGAGAACCCTCGTGACTTCCATGCCTCATCGTCCATGCGTTATCACTAGTGTGGTCACTACCCTCAGACAGATTGACAACAACAACAACACGCACACAGGCACATTGTCCACTTGACACATTTCGACCACCCAACACTCGATCGCAAGTAACGGTGGTGTGAACTGATCCGATGTGGTGTGGAATTATGAAAGGTTTACCCTCGAACTAAAGTTAGAACCATCTTTTACTGTCTATAATAAATGCGGAGAATGACCCAGTAACTTTCAGAACACTTATTAGACACCAAGTACATTGTGTCAAAACGTCAATATATAAATGTGTATGATTTTTACACTGTTGGATTTTTCAAGATTTGTTATTATTTTGTTACAGATAGTCATTTCTCCAAGAGGTATTAAATATTTCTGCAGGTCCGTCCTTAATCAGCACAAATGCTCTTAAATGCCCGGTACAGCAGAGGGTGGGGAGAGTAGCTCTCACTTTCCAAATGCTCTCACACGGCCATGCGTATACAGCCACGACCAGGAAAGTTCTATCCACTGCCTTCTCACGGCATTACTGTTGTTTATGAAGTTGAGAGGACGAAAACCAAATGTGCGGCACTTTAGCCAGGTTGATGGATATGGAGGATCCACCTAGGGCAGTTGGGAAACACTAATTACAAATTAATGGTGAATATTGGCTTAGGGATCTTGAGGTAACAAGTGGTGTATGAACCAACAGTTGGTTACTGGCTATCACGGGACTGCATCTCCTAACTTTGCTCCACTGTCTTGTGGATCAGACCTTTTGGTCGAAGGCTCTGGATGTGGCCCTCTAAGAAAACCACCTGCTTCAGTCTGAGTACCCGAGCGGTATCACAATCCACACACAAATCAAGTGACTTGTGTGTCGCATATGTATTCGGTGCCCGTTGTAACAATATTTATGTGTTCAAACAAATAAATAAATGAACAATCAGTACAAATGTTTGTCAGGAACTCAAAGAGAAACTGACAGTTGTAAATTGTGAGTTTAGTGATTTCAGAAATATAAATTATCATATTTAATTGCTTTATGAACTATCTCAATCATAAACCAATTAAATACAGCGTTTTTTATTATCATGACTAATTTAATTACCGAAAATACTAGACAAGTGAACACGATAAACTGATTACTGGGTGATTAGAATACTATAAATGAAGGGTTTTCTCTCATGTTATATATATAACCATTTTTATGAAGTACTGACCAAAATAAAATGTTTTCAATGATCAATATGAAGTAATTTCGTGTCTTTAAATGAATGAAAAGGTAATTCTTAGATTATTAGTTAAATATTGTTTTAAATATATTGGTTCCGTAGTCAACTTGAAAAAGTACCTAACTATTCAATATTCGAATTGCCTTGATTCTGGAAGCATCCTTTCGAGTTGAAAGTTATTCTTATATATAAAAAATATATTGGCGAAATGACCTTAGTACACCTAGAATACTCATAGAGCTTCACATAATACACACTGAAAATGGAGAATTTATGTCGTGGAAATTAAGGGATAATATACTTTATAATCAGCGTATTAAATTTCTTTATATTCCACAGTCCTAAACCTCAACAGAATACTTTAGTTTACTAAACACTTGAAATACGTATTTAATATATATTAAAATGACGGACATAATACAACTATCAAATATGGGCTTGTGAGCATGACTTTGAACCAAACTTTACGTATACGGATTAGTAAATTATTATCAAGTTGAGTAAACCAATAAAAGTGAGGTGGAACACAAACTTGAATCCCTAAATCCTAAGCTACCGAGCTCCATTAACTAAATATATATATATCAGTTTCTCAGTTTTAGAAATAAATGGATAAACCCTACATACAAACAACTTCATGTTGGTGTTGAAAATTTGACCATTTTAAGAAAAAAATATTGATTCTAGTTGTTTGGAGACACATGTTACATGACTGATAATATGAAAAATACAAAGAAATACATAGAATCAATCCTACATTGATTTTAAATTTCAATTCATTGTTTTATATGACGTTTTTTTCAAAATGATATCTACCGATTTTAGGTTATCAATCTCTGCTTTTCCGTAATGTATTGACATGGTATATAGGTAGCCTGCTTGAATATCTGGGCTACCTGTTCCTGCCATTTGAATATTTCAACAACTTCTCAGTTTTCTTATTTGTTTTAGCACATCATTATGCCTATTAGTGTGCGTGTTTGTAGAAAATTTACGACATTTCTCTGTACAAGTTACAAAAGAGGTCAATCAGAGACATCGTGGTTGCTAGCAATATGCATCGAAAAGAATATACATTATTTACCTGTTCATTCCTGAACTGCTAACATCTAATTGGCAATCACTCAATATTTATCGTCAGGATCAATCAAGAAATAAGAAAAAGAAATCTGTTGAAATAATTTATGCCCAGAATTCCATATTGTACCAATACATTTGATAATGATTAAAGCTAATAATAATGAAATGGCTTAGTCCTAATGTTTTAACTTATTCACCATATCGATTTAATCGATTTACACCTTCATGAACTAATATCCTACAGTGAACTGTTGGAGTTTCTTTCTTTTTTTTACCTTTTTACATCCGTTATCACTTTTACTTCTCCATTATTATTTTTTTCGGAAGAAAATTCATTTCATAAAAATGTTTTCTACATATGAAACCATTTTTATTCATTATGTAGGTCCACCATACATGTGTAACTTGATATATTACATGTGTTGAAACATTATCTTAGGGATATTTTATAAAATGTAACAAACATTAGCGAAAATCCAGTAATTTATTTACTGTTTAGAAATTTTCTTACTTCGTCTCTCTTCCTCTTCATTTCTCTTTTTCAAGTGAAACTTTTTGTTTCTATAAAAAGCCTTTCTGGTAATAGAATGGAGGTAGAAAGTGTATAAACTAATTAAGAAGTGTTTTTATTAATTTTGGAATGTGAAAATCGGATTTATTTTATGTGGAAACCATGATTTCAGCTTCACTAGTGTTAGATATTTGAGACTAATCGACTTGATATCTTGTGTTTTATGAATTTATTAATGTAGAATATTGATAGATGCAAGATGATGTTTAGAGATAATCGATAGGAAACTATTGCTCTAGATTCCGTGTCATTTGATATCTTGTGGGGACTGATAATCCTTAGCAGATTTAGGCCCCTGACACTTAGTTTCACAGTAAGAGATATTACCATTGAGCAATCCGGGTTACGCTTGACCTCTTTTAGGACTAAGATGTATTAACAATTCATCAGTCAACATATATTCATCAATTTTATATATCTAAAGTCATTCTTTGTTGCTGGTCAAATTCTACCGATCAAGTAATAATGTGCCCAATAGTCCAAGTGACTTGATATTGTCCACACTATGTTGAAATTTAACGTGGTGGCATCAATTCCTTCCAGACTACAGGTGCACCTTGCTGACGAGCCTCAGATACCTTCAACCATCAACTGAGATCTCAAAATAGTGCATGCGATGTCAAGTCACTTAGACTATTTTCACGTAGAAAGGTAATCAGTAGAATTTTGTCAGCATTAAGAATGGTTCAACATGTGTAACAATGTTCATCCCACTTTGTGATCGATCAATTGTAAATACCAATACATATCCACCATACATAACATACCGATACATACCGATCTACAAATGTAAACTATACTCATTTAGCTTTACATTCACAAAAGTTATTTTTTAGACATTGAGACTATAAATAATGTTGATTTAGCTAATACCCGTCTATGATTGAATAAGTAGTTAAAATTTCCTTTTTGACAAAATACATCTACTCAATACAAATATATCAAAAGGTCCATCATTTTCAGCTCCATGAAATAAAATGAGACATTCAGTTTAATAAAGTATACTTTCAAAATTTTATGTTTTTCATTTGTTGCTTATATAAAAGCGGTATGATGTGTAGCATTATATTGTAGCGACATTTATTTGTCGATAAATGTTGACTTAAAAAATTTAGCACCAAATAAATCCTAATAGACACTTGCTTGTGCAGTCGGGTGAAGTTTAAATTCACTTGAATCTTCCCATTGATGTTTAGGACTGCAATTGATAAGTCTCTTATTGGTATATGTGCATACTGTGTGTATTGCCTCGATATTGCCTTAATCCACAAGCAATATAAGCAAACATCAGAACTCAGTAGCTAAATGGATAACATGATAGCGTGTGTGAACATCAACTCTGAGATGCAGGTACATCCGGCTGACGACTTTCAAAGAGGACGAAACACGCGTCCTGGATTTCACTGCTAGCCACTATCCATCTTTGCAAATAAGTGAATGTTTATAAAAATTCATTGATGAAATCATATTATGTATCATGGTGCATGTATCACTAGTGACTAGTCTGGTGTAGCTTCATTTATATTAGTCTATGTTTAGCTAATTTAATTTCTATGATTTTTTGTCTCCCTTTCAAAATATCTTGTATTAAAGATGACTTATTTTCA